AGTCTGGAAAAGGACACATTCAATAAAGTTCAGTTTTAATTTGAAAAAATAAATAAATAATCAAAATATTCAATTAAAATCGCTACTGAATATAATTTATTAGAACATATGTGATTTGCACTTGTATGAAACTCAAACACGTATTCCGAATATACAAACTAGAAACATGTGGATAAATATTATAAATATGAATACCTATAACTGTTACTTTATTACAAAAAATAAAGATGTGGTTTTTGGTTCTACTACACCAATGGTCAAGAGATGGCGCTGTAGTCTCCTGAATCGCGCTTTGGTTCCGTTGTTCCAGATTAATAAATACTTTTGATATTATAAATATGAATACATATAACTGTTACTTTAATATAAAAAATAAAGATGTGGTTTTTGGTTCTACTACACCAATGGTCAAGAGATGGCGCTGTAGTCTCCTGAATCGCGCTTTGGTTCCGTTGTTCCAGATTAATAAATACTTTTGATAGGCCTTCACAATGCAGAGTCGCTAGCACCCACTAAATAGAGATTCTATTTCTATTTTGTTGGTAGATTTTCTTAATGTGCGGTAAACACAAAAGTAACGCATGAAGTTGGTCGCTAAAGCGACAACTTCATGCTGTTAAAATTTTGTGTTACAGTGATGCGCGCGCATCTTAAAATTTCACTCATTTTTTCATAACGCGCCTAAAGAAGTATAACTTCAAAAATGCGCAGCGGTATGAGTCATCGCACCCAGCCGCTGTAGACGCGATTATTAAACAGCACTATATGGATGATTATATAGATAGCCTGCCGGACGACGCCGCCGCTATAGAAATGATAAAACACGTCACAGAAATACACAAACAAGGTGGTTTCGAAATAAGAAACTGGATGAGTAACAGTCAGGCAGTGTTATGTAGTTTACCAAAAGAAACTTTAGGTGAAGTATCCGTAAGGTTTAAATTTGATCAACAGTGTAGCGGTGAACGAACGCTCGGTATGATATGGTATCCAGTTCAAGACGAACTCGGTTTTGACGTTTCCATGAAGAAAATTCCGGCAAACATAATAAAATGTCAAAGTAAACCGACTAAAAGATTGATGCTTTCTGTAGTTATGTCGATATTATAAAAAAGTGTCAAAAAGTGTCAAAACAGGTGTCAATAGACACCCTTCACAATTCAAGGTAAAATCATGCTGCAAGATGTTTGGAAGGACAATACCGACTGGGATGAAACTATATCAGACAAAGTTTATTCTAGGTGGCGCAGCTGGATAAAATGTTTAAAATTAATATCAAACATACGCGTGCCTCGATGTTACCTACATTCCTTTGGCACAAAAAATAAGGAACCGGTCGCGGCCGCTTGCGCAACTCCAGCCGTAGACGGGCCGTCTACGACAACGCTACGAGCGAGTCCCCCCGCACCACCTCCAACGTCTACGAGCGCTACGGAAAATGCTACGCCGCTTGAGACAAACTACAAAGGCAATAAGGTCTATTATCGTAATTTGCAATTGCATGTTTTCTGTGACGCATCGTCAAAGGCGATGTGTGCAGTCGCATATTGGCGTTGGATAGGTAACGGGAGTATACGAATGGCGTTCGTGGCTAGTAAAGGACGAGTTGCGCCTCTGAAACCCACTACAATACCCAGATTGGAACTGCAAGCTGCGTTACTCGGGGCTAGGTTGGCGGATACTATAACTCGAGAACATAAATTGCATATTAAAGCAAGGTATTTTTGGAGCGATTCAACTACCGTGCTGCATTGGATAAACAATAATACTCGTAATTATAAAATGTTTGTGGCGACCCGTTTGGGCGAAATAGACGAGTTAACTAAACCAACAGAATGGAGATACATATCGACAAAATTAAATATAGCTGACGTCGGTACGAGAGAAAATAATTGTGATACAATTATGTATAATAGTGAATGGTTTTCCGGGCCAATGTTTCTTTTAGATAAACAAGCGGATTGGCCGCATGACGTCATCATCACGAACAAAAATACTGATGATTTGGAATGTGTGAATTTTATTCAAGATATCGAGAACTTACCCGTCCCGGATTCCAATAGGTTTTCTTCTTGGTTACGATTAATTAAAACAATGGCTATGGTGTTACGATTTATAAATAAATGTAGAAAAAAGACTGAAAGTATTCTGATGGAAATGGAATCCGCGGAGTTGCTGTTAATAAAACAAGCTAAATTGGAGTGCTTTGCTGCGGAAATATCTGCAATTAAGGAAGGTAAATTTATAGAAAAGACTAGTAGGCTACTTACCTTGTCACCGGTACTCGACGAACGCGGAGTCCTACGATGTGGAGGCCGTATCGATGCAGCGCGCGGAGTCTCGCCTGAAACTAAGAGACCGATTATATTAGACGGCAAGCATAATGTAGCCCGGTTGCTGGTGAAGTACTATCACGAGAAGGCTGCCCACGGGAACCATGAAACTGTGGTGAATGATCTGAAACAGAAATATTGGTTATTGAAAATAAGACCAACTGTCAAATATGTAGTGTCACGGTGTATGTTGTGCAGAATAAGAAAAGCAAAACCACAAGTACCGAGAATGGGTGACTTACCTGCCGCCCGGATGGCCCATCACCAGCGCCCCTTCACTTACTGCGGCGTGGATTTGTTTGGCCCAATGGAGGTCGCGGTGGGACGTCGGCGTGAAAAACGGTATGGAGTGATTTTCACCTGTCTTACTGTGCGTGCGGTCCATTTAGAAATAGTTCATTTCATAACCACAGATTCAATGATCATGGCGTTGAGAAGAATGGCAGCGCGCCGAGGCTGGCCTCGCCATATTATGTCAAACAATGGAACCAATTTAAGGGGAGCTGACACTGAACTTAAACGGTCATTGCTTGAGCTCGACAATGAGGCGCTGAGAAACGAAGCCGCCCATAACGCTGCTGATTGGACCATCATACCGCCTGCGAGCCCACACTGGGGTGGGGCGTGGGAACGGTTAATAAGGTATCAAAACTTCTCTCAGGGTCATCCTGAAGGAGCGTGCACCAAAGGATGACGTGTTAAGCACGCTGCTAGCGGAAGTTGAGAATATAGTCAATAGCCGTCCGCTTTCGCACGTCTCTGTGGAGCCTAACAGCGACGAATCATTGACTCCGAATCACTTTCTAGTGGGAACTGCATCAAGTCTGCCAACGATAGGTAAATTTGATGACAGTGACTTGTAACTGCGCAAACAATGGCGCAAGTCACAACGTCTGGCAGACATGTTTTGGAAACGATGGGTGACTGAGGTATTACCAGACCTTATACCACGTCGCAAATGGAGCCAAGAGCAGGAGCCGCTGAAGGTGGGTGATTTAGTTTTACTTGTCGACCCAGGCTCTCCTCGTAATGTGTGGCCGAAAGCCATAATCCAGGAGGTATTCCCGGGTGCAGATGGTCGAGTGAGGGTCGTCGAGCTCCGCACTAGGACGGGTACGTTGAGGCGGTCCGCGGCGCGCGTAGCTAGAATCCCTCTGGTGGAGTAGTGCTGAGCTAGCACTGGGGTGGGGAATGTTAGCGACGCGCTCAATTATGTTATTTTTTTTTTATTGAAAATGTAGGGTAGTGCGATGTCACTGCCGATCCCGCGGATAACCGTTACGAGCCGTTGCACGGGCACCAACCAGTCTGCCGCGAACCGCTTTGGAAGTGACACCGTACTATTTTGCGATCCCTAAAAAACACGTGTTCGGCTAAAAATTAATGTAAAAGTGATTATTACACCTTATTTGCTGCATTTTGGCGTTTTACATCGATACTTAACCTCCCATCCCCCACACCTAGTCTGACTTCCTCTTCATTGGTTTCAAGAAAGCCAAGCGAGTTGGCCATGAAAACGGAGCTTCAAAATCAGCCGCATCCGACGCACCCTTGGTCATGATAGCCTCCGCCAAAGTCTTACCAATATTAACAAAGTATTGATTTACCGCATTAACTCAATCCAAATGATTACAGTCCTCTATTAGTTCAATAGGTGCAGTTTTTTGATGCACGGTGAATGTTATTGCCTTAATTACCTCCCACAGCTTTTTTGTATTGCCGAGCTTTCTTAATTTCTAACTTTTGAAATTCCCTTCTTGCTTTTTTAATAATTGAATTTGTGTAGTTTCGATATCTAGTGTAAGTGGTCTGTAAAATCTCATTGTTGGGTTGCTTTTTTAGTTTTTTGTGTAAATTATCACGGTTTTTGATACATCTCATAATGCCCCTTGTTATCCAGGGTTTCGTGGTACGTTTACGTCTCGGTATCCCTATCAATTTAGTACAGCTTCTAAGCATATTATTTAGAGTAGTGATAAGATGACTATAGATAAATGTCATTGTGTATAATACAAGCCTGAGAACAAAAACTGTAGTCTACACTTCAGCTCTACACCGAAGCGAAGCGAGGGCGGGCCGCTAGTTAGTGTTATAATTTGTTACTCACAAATATAAGACTGTCCTTGTAATATGTACCTTCATTTAATTCAATGTAATATAAGTAAAGGTATAAAAAAAGGAAACTAACATATTTCATCATCTGAATCATTTTCTGATTCTGATTTTGACAAAATTTCGGTTGACGTTTCTTCTAACAACTAAATTATAAATGGTCATCGTAATCGTAATTTTGATAACTTATCCTGTCTTTTTCAAAGTTTTTTTACTGGTTTTCTTATGTAAAGTCGTAAAATGATCGCATGTGTAAGCGAATACAAGACTAAATCGCGCGCGAGCTCTGCCAATGAACGTCTATCGCTGTCGCGAGCCGACAAGCTACTGATTGATTGGTCGACCGCATCACCCTGCCGTGTCCCACGGACCATGGGAGGGTTGACTTTACAGCGGTCAAGCTCTAACGACACGTATTTTCAAAAGAAATAGCAATAAGTTAAAGTAATTATTTGTAAGAATGACAGGAACCGTACTTCAGCTTGCCTTCTATTTTGTCATTTTATAGAGCTGATTTAAAAAAAAAACCTTGATAATAAGCATATTTTAACTTACTTTTTTGTCATAGTGTCTTAGAAACCCAAGTGCACTAGCGAGATCCATAGCCATTTTTGCGCCCGTCTTTGGCGGTATACCCCGTAATAGACAGAATATCTGCAGAGTTTCACGCGCTGTCAGATTGTCAAAGAGCGCATCAAACTGCGGGCAATATCCTGTCAAACAAGAGTAATCACATAGTGTAGATAAATTACTAATGGATCCAGGCAAAGGCGAAAGACTCTTATTAATGAAACTTAAGAAGACCTTTCGAGTATTTATTCTTCAAAAAATTACAGATCAAAAGAAAAGTCCACCCGGATGCGCCCGGAGCGGAAGGGGCAGGTTCGAATCCTGTCTGAAGCCTGGACCGAGTGAAATTTTTATCTAGATAGATTTATATATGGAGATAATAAATGTATACAATAAAATATCAGACAGACTTTTTAATGTTACCGTATTCACAATTTTAGTAAAACGTTTGAGTCAAAATTCATTCATATTCAAAATCGTATAAATAATTGTATCAACTTACCTATGTGTCGGTGCACGTCCTGTATGTTAGTTTTGATGGACAGGCCATGAACATAAGCGTCGCCGGAAGATATATGCGAGTCGCCGGTCAGCATGCGGAATGTGCTGGTTTTACCGGCCCCGTTCACGCCCAGTAATCCGAAACATTCACCTTTGCGGACCCCTAGAATTAAGGTATTATCATGGAAAAATGGGGCCAATTTTGGCATGAATCTCAAAATAAAATTTGACAACAATTGTCTTGTTCTATACAGAGAAAAAAGGACACTGTTGTCAATTTTAAAGTTTTAAAAAAATCACACCAGAATCAGGCGCATTTGATGATATATCTATACTAATATTATAAAGCTGAAGAGTTTGTTTGTTTGATTATTTGGTTGGACGTGTTAAACTCGGGCACTATTGATTCAAATTAAAAAAATATTTTTGTGAAAGATAGCTCATTTATCGAGGACGGTTAAAGGAAATTTATCAGGGCCTTACCTATGAAATTGCCGTTTTTAATGAAATAAGTTAACGCCCTTTTTGCTATTTTTTTTAATCATCAAAGTTTTGCCTATACCCATGCAATCAATGCCTTTTTGCCAACGTAGCGGAATCTTCTTGATGCCCTCTTTGAAAGTCTGCGGGACGGGAGGCCACAAATGATTTTAAGGCATTTTGAACTACCTCTAGGTTATTGAATTTTTTCCCCGCTAGGAAGTTATCCAAATTCTGGAAAAAGTAGAAGTCTGTAGGAGCAAGGTCTGGTGAGTATGGCGGATGACGGAGAACTTCCAACCCCATATCTTGTAACTTGGAGACCGTGTGCTGTGCAGTATGAGGTCGCGGGTTTTCGTGCAGGAGCCAATAGTCACACAATAAGGGTATTGTAGTGGCAGTAAGTATGCCTTTCTAGGGAGAAAGGCATACTTACTACAAAAGAATATTTTTTTAGGTTGCTCCATTTCTGGTGATAACTACCTCATACATATCTACCGGAAATATACAGACTACTGAAGTGTAGCGCAGATGTGCTACAGTATCATATACCGAAGGTGAGCCTGTTAACGGCCAGCAACTTGCGGTAGTACTTGGTTAGTCACACAATACCCTAGAAAGGCATACTTACTACAAAAGAATATTTTTTTAGGTTGCTCCATTTCTGGTGATAATTAACTACCTCATACATATCTACCAGAAATATACTACTGAAGTGTAGCACAGATGTGCTATATTATCACATTTTTTTATGCTTAATAGGCAAGGCGTTTGACCACAATCTCGCTTGATGGAAAGCGATGATGAATGATCACATACCGAAGGTGAGCCTGTTGACGGCCAGCAACTTGCGGTAGTACTTGGTGAGGTCGCGGCATACGAGGCTGTGGCCCGCCAGCTCCTGTCGAGGCAGCTCATGGACGGCGAGTCTCTCCGCCGCCACGTCGTCGTCTTCTTCCGCGGGCACTGGAGGTGGCGGTTTGGGACTTGACGAGTAGAAGACCTTTCAATCAGAACGACAAACCAACTTTTATGCAAGAACTAGCTGTCCCAGCGAACTTCGTACCGCCATAAAAAAATTGGGGGTGGTGGTAGAAGGGTGAAAATTTAGGGTTGTATGTATTTTTGTATGATGTATCATAAAAAAAATAAAAACAAAAATAAATGTCCAAAAAAACATTTTTGATGGTGGACCATTCTTAACATTAGGGGGATGACAAATAGATGTTGTCCGATTCTCAGACCCACTGAATATGCATATAAAATTTCACGAAAATCGGTCGAGCCGTTTCGGAGTAGTTCAATTACGCACGCCGTGACACGAGAATTTTATGTATTAGATAATATAAAATATCAAAAAGGAACGCACTTTATACTACTTCAAAAACTGATTTATGAAAAATATATCGATATTCAGTTACAGCATCAACTTGGCCTTTGAATTTCGAGTGGACACAGAGCAGCAGAAAATGGGACATAAAAAATAGTCAGCGAGTCTCTTGATAATTAAGGCGTCTCGCGCACTAGACGGGTACGACCACGGCCAGTGGCCGCAACGACCACATCAACTTTATTTGGCAATGGTTACTTTAGTTAAACCGTACCCTTAGTACGAGTTTCACAACTACGAAAACTATGATAGTTTTCGTGAGCTCGCACTCGTCACAATGTTTCAATACAAATAATTATAATTCAATACAAATAATCATTAAATAAATCATTTCAGTCTTCTTAAATTTTAAGTATATTTGGTTACTTTTCTCCAAAATGGACATAGAAACATAATTTGACGACCTCCGTGGCCGAGTGGTTTGTACGCCGGGTTTCATGGTGTCGCCGATTCGGGAGGTCCCGGGTTCGAATCCCGGTGGGGGCAGATGTTTGTGGTGATTATGAACACGAGCATTTGTACTCCAGTCATGGATGTTTAATATGTATTTCTATATAAATATACTTATATATGTACAGTATATGTATTCTATCCGTTACCCTAGTATCCCATAACACAAGCCTTACAGTGCTTACTTTGGGGCTAGGCTAATTGGTGTGAGTGTTGGAAATATTTATTTATTTACAATTACGAAAACTATGATAGTATTCGTGAGCTCAAACTCGTAATAAGGGTACTGGTCGTTGCGGGCACTGGCCGTAGTCGAGGCCATCGTCGAGGCCATCATCGCGTCGAGGCCATCTACTGCGCCAAGTGCCTAAGAGCTATGTTTTATTGATTATAACTCCATGCACTCTACATTTAAAGTTTAAGCTGGCATCACAGTTATTCATACCTTATTTATGAGTTCGTATTCTTTGATGAGCAAAATGACCAGTCCAGTAACGCCCACGACGCTCATCATGAACAAGTAACGCCCAATGCCTGGTTCGTCCCATTTTAGAAAAGGGTCATCTTCAACTGTGTGAAACAAAACATAATTAGCTGTTATGTACTTTTAGTTAGTATTGCTTACGCATATGCTTAGTTAAATAGATGATTTTGTTTGTCTTTATTTAATAATTCTTACACATTTAACTGAGATAAATATTATTATTTGCGTTATTCAAAGGAACGCCTTCCATGAGTTTTTTAAATTTTCATACAAATCTGTTCATTTGTTTTCACTGAATGGCGTAAAGAAAATTGACCAATCGGTGCAGGAGCTCTACTCCCTTTCTCCGAAACGAAATTTCGACAACGAACGAATTTTAAACGAAATTTCGCCAGTGACTCTACTCTATTTCATCTTCGAACACGCACATAAAGTTCGGAATCACAGACAATTATCGTGAACGAATGGAATGAGTTATGTTTGTGAGTTCTTTTCATCTACACTATTTAGATAACGCCTTTTACTTCAAAACAATATTAGTTTATGACAACATTTTTGATTACATTAAAACAACCTCTTTTGACATTGTTAGCCGACTAATTTGTAGAGTTGATGCAAGCGAATGTATGTCAACCTAAATTTGTCATGTAACACTTTGAAGTATTGGCAATACAATAATTATCAAAAATTAGATTTATTTGTAAATCTTTCTTACTAAAAAATCTTTCTCACGCTAAGCAGCCTTAATTAAAAATACTCTAGTAGTAATTAAAGGTTTAATTTAAACAAAAATCCCAAAACAAAAATGAAAAGGTAACACTTTTCATTTCGTCAATTTGAGGTTAAAATTTCGAACAATTATCTGTCAAATTCAACTTTTAGTTCAAAAGTTTTGTGAATTAGAGTAGGCTTAGAGAATTTAAATGTCAAACTATTTTGGGACGAACGAATTTTCGAAATGAAATAGAAACAGAGTAGGGAACGTGCGAAATTTCGATCGAAATTTCGTTTTTCGTTGAAATAGAGTAGGCCTCCAGGTCTGATACCTGCACTGAATTCGAACCAGAGCCTTTCGTTATTTGCGCACCTAGTTGTGAGGCTGTTTTTTTTTACCGAGTGGACATTTTTTTCTTTACGCCATTTACTTACAAAGTAAATGGCGTAAGGAAAATTTTCCTCTCGGTGCAGATCTGATACCTGCACTGGATTCGAACCAGAGCCTTTCGTTATTTGCGCGCCTAGGTGTGAGGCTGGTTTTTCAATTTGTATTCCCTATTTCTTCACCTTTAATTGATATTATAAGGCAAAACGGTATAGCTAAGATACCACCTATGTCCAAGCTCCAATCTATCTCTATACAAAAAAAATAGCAAACAGGCTCACAGAATTACTTCCGGATTTAAAATATCTAAACGAAAGATATAATAGCATTCACATAATATGGTTTACTTTTAATTATTTCGGAAAACGAAGACGATTGATATTATTGAATAAAAGTAATAATAGCAATTCGCTGCAACACAAAGAAAAAAGCTTGCAGATAAATAACTGAAATATACTAACTACGGCTGGAAACAATTTTAAATATATGAATTGACTGAATACGTTTAAGAATACTAGGAATTAGGCTAATCACGTCATTATAGTGATCTATAAAAAAGTTTACTTTTATATGATAAACTTTTTAGCAAAAAAGTTAAACCGCCGAAAAAACTCAAAAGCAGTAAATAATAAACCCTTTTTATCTTTAGTCAAATTAATATTTGGAGTCAGTGCCATGCATGTCCGATAGATCTGAGTTCCCATTTACTACTTGGGTTGGTATGGTACCGTCTCCAAATATTCATTTGACAAAAGATAAAATGGGTTTATTATTTACTATTTTTCATTTTTTTCGGCGTTTTAACTTTTTTGCTAGAGAATTTATTATTTTATTATTGTGGCTTTAATTTTTGTTCCCAAAATTTTCTAGGATCAACTTTGAGGTATACATACACTACTCAATAAAAAAAATGTGTGTGTCAGCTCCGACGCACCAAACGCAAAAAGAGTTTATTTAACTTAAAAAAGATTGATACTGTATGAAAGGGTAAATTAACAAATTAATGAAAATAATATACATATATAAATATATATTTATTCATTTCATATACATTTATTAATTACATTAAACTTTTTACAATAGTCAATTTCAGATGTGCATAAATATATCATTAGGAATGTTGATAAATTATGTAATTAATATCAGACTATTATCATTTTTTTAAATATTAATTAAATCAACATTGTCTGCATTATTAATTACAGTAACAAGTGGTTTATGGGAACTAAAATAAGACACATGGACGTTCGTAGATACGTGGTTCACGAATCTTGAAAATACCGCATCAATGGTTGTACCGTACCTCGTTGTCCCCATTGCTCTATCAGAAACAATATCTAAATTCAGTTCAGATTTTAAAAAATTTATTAATGTCAATCCGTCATCTTTGTTTGTCAAAGTTGCGCGACATAGGATGCGCACCAAAAACGTAACGAGGTCATTCATCGATAGATTTTACTCCTCACATTTTTCTCATACCGGGCCCCTTATATATGCAAATCGATTCTTAAGGAGTAAACTCTAAAAACCGGCCAAGTGCGTGTCGTGCTACGCGGAATGTAGGGTTCCGTAGATACTCTTCTTCTTTTTCTTTTTTTATGGCATGCACGGATTCCGTTGATATTTGATAGTGGTTTTATAATTGCTATTTTTTTAATTTTGGTTTTCAAGAACAAAGAACTTTATTATATTATCAGTGTTTTAAACAACCCATTAAATATTTCTGTCTAAGTTCACACTTGTTGTAGTGTGATTACAATATAGTGGATACAACCGCGCTACTGTTTTTTTTTTCAAGAAATAAATGCGCTGGCAATAGAACTGAGTATATAATTTAAATTTTTAGAAAATTAGCTTTTATTGACTATAAAAGTTGGACTACGAAAATATTTTTTGTCATTATGAAATAAAGGGGTCCCGAACTGTTCACCGAAACCTTATAAGTCAAATTAAGACACTTTCAACGTCAAAATTTACAACTCCTTAATTGTATATTGACGATAATTGAACTCTTAAGACAAGACAACGGACCCTGAGGCCTCGATCACAAGGGGTGAGTTTACATGCAACAAAAATGCGAGTTCGCTAGAAACTTGTAAACTCGCCCCGTGCCATCGAGGTTTAAGTATCAAAATATAAATAGCTACGGCTACATGGATAAATAACACACAGCAGCAAAACTCACTTACTACAACAGACAGAGATGTGGAGCTGGGTGCAAATGGTGTGGCGCGTGCAGTTCGCGATGTTTACGAACTGTTCGCATAAGCCATCGCATGCCATCATGGAAAAAGACGACACGCTCATGTCCCTAAATGGAAGAATTACAAACCGTATTTAGTTGTTTGTACAAGCAATGAAACCTATTGGAGATAAGGGTCCACAACCCACTAACCATCTGTGCTGTATTCAAAAAAGTTTTACGTTAATACAATGCCAAAATTTTTATTAGTATTAGTTCACTACGATTATAAATATTACAGGAACAATAATTTTATCAACTTTACCAGCTTACAGATTTTCTTATTAAGGCCAGGTGGGGTAAGAGGAACACCGGGGGAAAATGAACTAAGTTCATAACTAAATTACATATCTTTAATGAAATCGAAAATCACGTATTCTCTCCTTCGTTCCTATAATTTTCTTGTATTAGACCAAATCTGGGAAGCCGATAGCTTGAAATGGTTAGCTATTATATTGTTTCAAAAATATCCCAAACCCTTTTAAAGATGGCATGCCGGGAGAGGGTTGGTTACTATCAAGAATACGAGCCCGCACATTTCGAGTATGCTCAGGTAACCTTTACTTCAATTTGCTAGAAGCTTATTGCTTACTTTTACGATTACAAAATACGTTGAAGAAGAGATAATATATGGGAATTGACAGCTTTTTACGTCACATTTTACAAATTCGTAAAAATATTCTTTCGGAACAACCGGCTGATAGTCTGCTAAAATCAAAGCTTTTTCTTTATTATGGCATAGTCGGTTAAAAAACTTTCTCTTGTTTTGGTTTGGAACCCCTAACTTAACCCATCCTCCACACCCATCCCATCCATTACCCGAAAATGCAAAACATCGATTATTAAAAAAAATATAGCGTTTTAATAGAATAAGATTCAAATTCGATTGCAGCAATTACAGTTATGAAGTTGTAGCGAATATATTTCGCTTTTGTAATTGTGTAAGCCCCCAAATCGAAGAAAGAGAAACGTTACGCTGATCTGTATGATTTTTAACTTATTTTTGTAAATATTGACATTAGAGTACTCGACTCTTAAAAAACAGAAAGATGATATATAGAGATAAGTTTTATTATATTTTTTTTTTAAGCATGTAACTCTGCTTGATGTTTAAACCTAAAGAAAATAAGTTTTATGTTTAAAAAAATTTGAATCCGTTGTTATTCTTCGTTGGTAGAGCTAATAATGTGCTGATGAAAATAAAGTATGTTCCTCTTATCCCACCTGATCATATTTTAGAAAATATGGAGTTGAATGGTGCAATGAAAAGCGCGACAGAATTAATGGTTCATGAAATATTCAATGAATGTCACGCGGATTGCACTTCAATAATATTATATAGCAGGATCTCATAGAACAGGGGCGTATGCGCAAAACTATGTGTTTTAATTATTTCACTATTCCAGTCGTCTTCCCGGTACCCGTAAACATACAAATTGTCATATCTATATATATCGTAGTTATTTAATAATTAAAAAAACTATAAGGCGCAATATTACAGTTCTAACAAATTTGTCGGGCAATAGAGACTTATAGAAAGTGTAAACAGAAAAAAAACTAAAGTTAAAGAGCTTTTTTATTTCACGTATAGTACGGCACGGTACGCTTTGATGACCGTTTTGCAAGTGACGAGAAAATTTAATAGATAGGAAAAATTACATCTAATTATAGCCTAATGATCGGTTCGAGGTCGGAACCAGAATGCGTTAGAAACGTTAATTAATTGTACAATATGGAAATGCAGCATCGGCAACTCGTGGCAGCTTGGCCTTGGTGTCGGTGCATCGTAATAAGCCGTGGTTGCTACGTAAGCGGTCTTCCTTCCGTCCATTTACGTAATTCCTCCACCCCGAGATCAGCGACTATTTTAGGACTTTCAGAGAAAATGTCGCTGGCATGGAATTATCTTCTTCTTGGCTGCTTCAGGATCTTCGTAAGTATGCTCCTTGGTATTTGAGATTTGGTCTTCAGACTCCTTGTAGTGCGAAAAACTGCGATTAAAACGATGCCGCTTAAGAGGATCACGCCGTAAAAAGGGATTGTCGTATGATATAGAGCTTCCTCCATTGTCTGTTCCAGCTGTAGATTTGGTTCCGTCATGATTCTATTCTGGATGCTGTGTAGCCTTTGCAAATCTATAGAGTCCAGTTTAAGGTGTTGCGGTTTGATAGTACTTGCATTGCTGTAGGGGATTTTCATGAGCTTCAGAGGCTGGCCGTTGGTCTCATCATTCTCGTTGATGATGGTGAATTCAGCTGTCATCAGGTAGCACTTTAGTGGGATCTTGATTAGGTAACTACCTTATAGGGATGTGGTGTCTTGGCTACTGCAGGTCGATTGTACCCTTGTTGAATGTGGGAACGATATCACGTAGTGTTGATCGTCAAGCTTCTCTAGGGCTTCCTTGGCTAAAGAGACAGAAGTGAATTGGCAGGATTCGCTAAGCGTCTGCGGTGTGATGAGCTTGTGTATGCAGTCCGGTTGCGCACGGAGCTGAGTACTTATCTTTCGTTTGACTCAACTTCGGGCATTCATCCTCCATGTACACCGATTGATTTCTCGTTAGTTGCCATGAAAGGAAAGGGCGGTATGAGGATTTGTTGGTCCTTGTTTGGAACTAGGGATAGTCTATAAAAACTAAATTCTTCTTTAGAAAATATGGGGAATTTGAAAATTACAACTACTTATTTCCCTAGATAATAGTAACCAAATTTAATAACGTCCTTATAATCTCTATACGCTACATTTAAAATCTGCTCCTTATTGTATAGTTTTTCAAGTTTATTTAACATAGTTTTAAGTACGTTTACAGTAATGATGGAATGATGTGTGGTCCCAACTCGGATAAAAGCTAACATATTTTCTACTCTCATTAATTCAACTATAATATCTTCTACGTTTTCACTAAGTATATCTAATAATTGAGCAATTTAGCGTATTTTATTAAGTTACTTTGTTTATTGGCATCTTTTTCTAGTAATAACTCTAAAGTAGAATTTATCTTACTTTGATTATCGACAATTTTGTTAAGGATTGCGTGATATTTGAGCATCCATTCTTTATTAAGACTCGTTCGACTATTGAATTCGGATACTATTTTGTTTTGGTTATTTTGTAGTTCTTTAATAAGTGTGTTATATCGAATAGCGTCTGAATGATCGAGAATAACGCCCAAATCTCGAACACTATCAGTACGGGTTATTTACCATTCACTCTATAAGTTTTCACTACATTTGTCTTATACCTGCTGAATTGCACTACAAAGCATTTGGCTACAATTAGTGACATGAGATTTCTATCGCACCAGGAAGCAAGCCTGTTGAGATCATTCTGCAATAGGAGGCTATCATCCACAGACACCATCGGCTTGAGGATTTTCAAATCGTCAGCAAAGAGATAAATCTGTGAATTTCTGTTGTCTCCACTCAATAGAATATCTCTTCCTTGAAGTTACTGTCAAAGGTGTCAAAATAGTCCTGGGAGTTGTTTACTGTCTTAACTATGTCTACTATTGCTACAAATTTTCTTACTGACTTTGATTCACTTCTTAACTCTGATGCAACAGATTACTTTCATCATAACATAATGGGTGATTTCAACACCGACCTCCTGAAAGATACCGCCCACTCTCGCAATTCTTCGGTCCCTCATTGAGTCGGTAAACTTCTCTATTTTACATTGTGATCCTACTCATCACAATCTTACCACATCAGACTCATGGATTGATCACAAATTGATATCTTTCCCCGAACGTATCCTTAAGCATAGACAACTTCCTGCACCTGGCTTCTCCAGGCACGATCTTTTTGTTTTTGCTTATAAAGCCAAACCTGCAAAGCCATTTATTGTACGAATGCGTAATTTTGCTAGACTGGATGTGGAGAAATTGAAAAGCGATGCTTGTGGTGTTAACTTGGATCCTCTTCATGAAGCAAGTCCCGTCGACAGTATGATCTCCTACTTTAATAGAGCTTTTTCAGATCTTTACGACCGACACGCCTCTAATAAGTTCGTTCGAGAAAGCGAAACAAGTACTTCCATGCGTACAAACATTGCCACACCGATGATAATTGGTGTGCCTTTAAAACAGCTAGGAATCGCTGCAATCAGATAGTGCGAGCCGCTTAACGCCAATACATTCATCAAAATAGATGAAATTCAAATCTAGCCGTTACATGGAAGTTTCTAAAAACTCTCGGTTTTGGTAAAACTACCACCAAACATATCCTCTCATTTTCACTGGATGAGCTTAACAAGCTTTTCTCATTAGTTTCTCTTCTCCCTACTTCTGTTATGCTCTCTACTGTTTTTTCCATAACATTCGTGTCCTACACCCTTACTGGTTGACTGGTAGAGAATGTCTATGGCATTAAGTCCGCCATTTATATTTCATTGTTTTAAACTTTTAGGAATCATAATATAAAGTTAGACCTTAAATAAAGTAGTTTTGTAAAATTTTAATTCTACGCCCTAAAATTAGCGATACGATATTTTTTTAGACAATAACGAACAAGAATTAGTTCTTTTAAATTAAGAACTAATTTCATCTTTCGAATATGAAACTTCATGGGCTAACATACGTCAAAACGGCCATCATAGCGTGCCGCTACTATAATTGATTTGATCTGATAATAAATGTCATTATATCCGAGTATATTCATTTGTTTATTGTTTTTTAAGTATATTCACATGTAGTCTAGCAAATTCATCGTGTAATAGAAGCGTAAGTACTAAAACTACCGGTTGTTTAATCTTATATAGATTTTACTTCATACCACTCTTATGCTTTCCTATGTACGTAGAATTCATAGAAATCCTTCAAATTCATAACCGAGAACAAAGAATATAAAGTTTTTTTCTCGTCCTGTAAAGTTGTGTTTATGCGTATACACCCCTGTAGCATAAGACCCACGATATTTAGAAGATAGCCAGAGCTCTATTTTTCCACGATTCTTAAATCAAGCTGGCTGAATATACAGGCATTAGAGTACACTATTCCTCACTGGGCACGCATGGCGGTTTATGGTTCGTCCTCCACCCAGGCTTTAAAGCGAAAGCTTGCGATCTTGCTAGTTGTTCATTTAACAAAGATAAGGGAACATGTAAACGTCTACTATACGTAAATTATCTTACCTAAAGCTTCTGCTGATACAATATATTGGCAGTGGCGAAAATATCCAGTCGAACAGGTGGGCATAGTACGGACTACCCACTTCCGGCAATCTTAGGACTTCAGTTATTAAAAATGGCATGCATCCTAGAAAGCGAAAAAGAAAGATCATATTACAACTACTTATATTACTATTCAAATTATTTCACGCTCATTTGTGTCACTTACCACAGAATATATTAAGGAAACACATTTTCGAGAAGCCCGTGGCGGCCGCTTCGAAGTAGAACGAAGCTAAATAGTGTAATGGTATGGTCGCCAATGAAAATACCATCAATACTAAAAGCACTCTTCCTGAAAGCAACAATCTAAATTTAGTGATTACAACTGACCTTTCATGTGGTTTTAATTCCTCAATAAAACATCTATTATTACTACCCGATTCCATTGGATTTACTATACTCGTTTAGGGGACCTATATTTCTCTGTTTGTATGGTAATTTCCTGTGAACTCAGATGTGAAAAAAACACTTATTCTTTAATACGAGTGTCTACTGCGGTTATTAACAAGTTACTTAGTCCTGAGCAACGTAGATGCGGGATGTTAATAGTTATTTATTATACAAGAGTGGAAAGTTCCTTTTTAACCGCGTGCTCGATTTGGATGACCGAGCAAGCGAAGGATTCTAAAGTTGAATCACGAGCGCAGCGAGTGATTCTAAATTAGAATCCTGAGCGTCAGCGAGGGAAACAAACGAGCACAAGGTGAAAAATCTTTCCACTCGAGTGCAATACGTAACTTTTCATCCCACCTCAGCGAGGAAATGACAAAATGAAAAAGAAAACAATTTATAATGACAAAATATTTTTATTTCAATTAAAACACATTAAGATAATCTATAAATTGAAGAAAATAATAAGAAGTAGAAAATAATTAAGAAATATTAAATGTAACGTTGCTACAGTTACTTATGTTAAGTTTAATATTTTTGTTAGGTAATGTTATGTTGGTGTTTGTGAATTGTGCGCTGTTTTGTGGTAAACTACTCGTATCAGTAATTTTAAATAGTTGTGCCGATTCATTGGATTCTATTGGCGTAAATGTTGGCGAGAGAGGGCTATTGTTTCCAATCTTATGGGGGCTCATTTTAGATGTAGAAGGGCGAGACCAAGAATCTGACAGAGGTTCTTTCAGCGTTATGGCCTCTACGATACTATTACAAATTTTTGATTTACTTTGGATTGAATCCTCTATGTATCCCTCTACAACCGAATTAGACTTCCAGCCTCCATGGCGCTTAAGCGATAGAAGATCAGCCCCTGATTCGGCCAAAAGTGTGGCTGAGGTTCTTCTAAAACAGTGACCGGTGTATAACGGGGGTTCTAAAAGTCCGAGAAAAGTTGCTATTTCTCGTGGAATACTGCCAATTTTATTCTGACCCATAGGTTGTCGGATACACTTTCCGTTGCGATATTGTAGAAAAAATCGTTCAATTGGGGTGTTAGAAGGACGTAAAGCTTGATATTTCTGAACAATGTTTACATATTCCTTGCGAATAACGAAGTTGCGGTCTTTTTTTGTCTTGGTATTTAGTACATTAATTAATAGCAATTCATCAGAATTATGAGAATATTTTGATACGTTATTGACATTAAGTAGTGTAAGTTCATTTGTTCGACATGCTCCGGTTATACCAATAATAAGAACAACCTGTAACAAAAGAAGTATTTATAATCGTAAATAAATTAATCAAATTAAAAATATTGTAAGTACTATGTACAATTTTATCAACAACAAAAAATTACACGTATTGACTTACTTTTGCCGCTAAATATACGGAATCAGGTGCTTCATTAATAAACTTTGCAATTTCAGATGCTGTGAAAACCTTCGATTTTTTTGGTTTATAACCAGATGAGGCTCTTTTTAAAAATGCCACTAATTTATGATAGGTGTCGATATGAACGTCTTTCTTCATCTTAATTGTTAATTTTAGCATTGAATACGTACTCCATAGCGTGCTTGCTTTCTTGGTCTCAGATAATTCTATAAAATATGCCAGCAAAACGTTTTCGGAGAAAGTTTTTGCTCCTTTAGCTAGTCGCCACATGTTAAATATATCGTACTGTTTCAAATACTTCTCTCGTGATTGCTGAGGGAGAAGGCTCATTTGCGCATTATTAACTGTTTCAGTTAACTCAGTTGGCGTTAGATAAACTTCATCGTCGCTAATGTCACTCATTTTAGTTGATTTTTTTGTACAGTTTTTAGGTTATGTTAATTATATTAAGCAATAAAACGTGAAAAACTAGAATGGCGCGAAGCACGCAAATAAAACAAAGAAACCAAGAAGGTTCCAAATTTAAATTTTTTCACAATTTAAAAAGTTCTAATCATAAATTTGGCACCATAGAGGTTACATTAAATAGGTTTAATGACGTTTTGAATTTACAATTATATTGAGTACTCATTATATGTGATGTTCTAAATTCAAATCTACTTTGCCGCTCAAGCGAATAAAATAGAATTTTCCAGCCAGATTTCGAAGCGCAAAATTACACTTTCCGAGGTGGTGGGATGAAAAAGTTATTTACTAGTTATGAAAGTATGAGAACATTGTAAAAATACAATAAATACAATAATATAATGTAGTGCGTACCTAATTCCTCGGGTGTGGAAAGTGTGTTTTCCTGGAAGCAGGCGAGTGTAAGAACGATACACAGGTAAACCAGGAACAACCATATCCAGTCCCAAATGAAGGCGGTGCCCCACATTACAGCTGGCCGAACCCCCGATACTCGCTGCAGAAGCTTCGCGCCGCTTATACGCTCCTAGTACAACGGACTTGATATCATCATAGGATCACTTTAACATACAACATTGCTTCAGATATTAGTTTATTGTATTTTTAATTTTGAGCTTTTTACGTGATAGATTTATAAATCTAAAGAAAATATCTATCTTAATATATATAAATCTCGTGTCACAATGTTTGTCCTCAATGGACTCCTAAACCACTGAACCGATTATAATAAAATTCGCACACCATGTGCAGTTCGATCCAACTTGAGAGATAGGATAGTTTAAATCTCAAATTATAGTCGCAATTTTAATTTATTGCAAATTATTACTTTTGGGCGGTACGAAGTTCGCCGAGTCAGCTAGTACATATAATAAAATGGTAGGAAAGTAAAAACTGTACATTGAATATTGTTTTAAAAGAATACTTGAGGTGTGATGTACAATCGATACCGAAGCCAAAAATAGAACTTTTGTCTGTTTGTCTGTATGCATGTCCGGGATAAACTCAAAAAGTATTGCATGGATTTACTTCAAAATTTTCAAAAATATTATTAAGAAGTCGGGTCAACATATAGGCTACATATTATCACGCTATTACCTACAGGGAACGAGCAATGAACATTTATTTCTAACTAACTCCACGCGTGCGAAGTCGCGGGCGGCCGCTAGTTATTAGATAAAATGCAATTCGGCCCAAAAGTGCACGTTCGAATCCCATCCTGTGATGCCTGGACAGCGTGGTTTTTTTCTAGTTTCATCACCTGGTGATGGAAGGCTATGGTTCCCTACCCTATATCACCTCTGGGGTAGCTTGAGGTCTTTTTGAAGCTGCTGCCGGGCAATAGTTTACATGATTTACAACTTTCTGTGTAATTATAGTATATGCACCGTTAGCAAAACCACCATTAACGAAGCAACATTGGTTCTAATCCAATATGTGCGTAATTATGACATAGGTACAAAAAAAAACAATCTTATTTCGATACTAACCTTAATTACAAACAAAACTAGAAATGATGTTACAAACGCCATACAAAACCCGATGTTGAATGCAAATTGAAAGCCCATGCTACTTCCTGTAGCCATAACTCGAACCTGCAAAATGTTTAAAATTTCATATAACGGGAGCCAAACCGTGAGAGCCTATTGGATGGACGCGTTCGTAATGTCGAAGCATAGCATAGACATATTATGTGTGATATTAAGACAGAGCGGTCTAAAAAGTATGTCCCCCTAAACTACACTCAGAGGCACAATTAACCGCCCACTTACATTTTTCGGTGTAATTTCAAAAAATCATTTTAGAATGACTTTTTTTCTTAAAAATGTAATAAAATGGATAAATTAATATGAAATAAGTGAAAAAAATCAGTTGCTGTTGATTTGTTTTTTTTTATTTTGAAAAAGTTTGAAATTACCGTTTTCAAACAAAATGAAAGGAGTTGACAAGCAAGCTAAAACTTTGTTTACATTAAAAACCTAACTTTTAATAATGAGTATTGGCTCCTCTGGCTCTTATGACCTCCTCCAGTCTATTTGGAAGACCACCCATGTCTTGAATATCTGACTGCGGTATATTCTCCCATTCCATCAAGGCAATGTTCAACTCATTAATGGAGGTGGAGCGGGAATCCAACTTCGTACCCGCCTTTTGAGATTGTCCCAGTGTTTGATAGGGTTTAGGTCCGAACTCTAAGCTGGCCATGGTATCCGTGGTATACCCATATTTATAACAGCAAGGAAACTGAAAAATACATACCGCCCTCCCCCCCCCCCCCCAAACGTCACGTAACACCCAACTGACCATTTTTTACAAAAATGTCACATCTATGTTGCGCAAACTACCGGAAAGTCGCTAAATTACTTTTGTTATTATTTTAATAGCGTTTGCGATAGTAAATAATAATCAAAATAATCGATTTCTAATTCGCAAACCATGCGTATTTTATTTATTCGTATATTTATATAATAAATAATCACACATTTTAATAAACATTTGCTTTCGTTTTATTTGCTCATTTTAAAATATATTAAATGAACTCAAGAGTCCTAATAAACTCTTTTCTTAAGATTAGTAGAATCTAACATGTAATTACGCCGTTTTCCTGACTTACCTCTGTTTTTGGCTTCATCCACCATTGTACTTCTCATACATTTTATAGAAAATGTTTTTTTTAATCTCTCAATAATTTAACATGTTTACTTTAAACTTTGGCAAACCATAAACGAAAAGGGATGCCAACTTGGGAGATTCTAATACCCATTTTTTTTTATTTAAATAAAAAACCAATGTTACGTAACGCGTTGATCGAACCCCTCTCCCGCCCCTGTAAGGCATCGTAACGTTCTACAAGACCCCCCCCCCCCCCAAATTGCGTTACGTAATACTTGAACGCCCCCTTACCAAAACTTACCAAATTTTCTATAGCGTATGGAAGTGGATGATTGATGATGGTAAGCGTACTTCCGGGCGAGACGGCACGCATTATGGCGTCGTTAACATGTGCGAGTGAGATGGCAGCGTCGTGGTAACCATAGTTACTGAACCAGCCAGTAATTTGGTTGGGTGCGAATGTCGCCCCTATCAAATTCTCATATTGTACACGCGCTAGATTGTCTCGACTCTGCGAAATCAAATTTGTAAATGTAATTCTTATTTAAGGGCTGATAATGGAATTTCTATTCAAGAAAATATTCTTAATAATAAGAAAATTCAAATACAAAGTAAAATATATACAACTATTATTGGAAAGAATATTAAAAATTGTATGCTTTACTTACAAGTTTCATATAAAATTTTCCTAAATCCATAGTGCCGATATCGACTAAATTCATGCCTGGGTATGTAGACGTCTTAAAGTAGTCTTTAAATGCTCTCATTGCTTGGGCTTCTATGGTACTATCACTCAAATTTGCTCCTTGAGATATTAATGTCTGCGTATCTTTAAAGCCACTTTCTAAGCTTAAAGTCAAAGGCGGCAATTGAGAAATAAATTTCCATGATCTCGCTATGACCACCGATATTGTTATATTTATTATGGGTGTCACGAATTGTATGAACGCTGACAATTTATTCCTGGTTGTATTGTATGCCAATTTTAAAAACATAGCTTTTATGTGATTTTTTAATAATTTAAATCCTCTTACTTTCTGTAGGGGTTCAGCTTCAACTGTAAAATAGAAAGCGTAATACTGAAGCGGAGATGAATTTATTTTACCTAGAAAATGTGCCTTGTAGTAATTTTTAAAACGCGAAATATGAATCGCAATTTACCAAAATTATTCAGATGATTGTTCCTTTCCATTGGAACTATTGCAATGTCATTATGCAAACCTATGTAGTTATTCTTTTTAGCTGATGTTATTTCGTTGTCTTCTGCACCAGCTCTAGAAATACAAATAATTTAGTAATAATCCGAATAAATTACTAGTTATTTGTCAATAATTGTATAAACTCACTTCATAAATACTTCCTCAAGACTGGTAACAGATAAGCCGTAACTTGACACATGTAATGATTCTTTTCTTTCTTCAAATTCTTTGAGCATGTCTGGAAATTTGCTCACATGCTCATTCGGCAAAATGTATGTTAATTCAGAACCTGCAAAGACAATATTACCATTCGTTTGCCTTACGACGTAATCATTTAATACGAGTACAAAAACTGATCTACGTTGTTTGGGTTGGATTGTTTAGAATTTAGATTTGCAATAGGGATGATAACTAACTTTTCCCCCATTAGATAGATTATCAAAAGGTATTGGACATGTATTTTTTTTATTCACATTATCATAACATTACAGACATATTGATTTGAAATGTCACAGGCAGGACGTCACTCCTTGGTATTATTTTTTTGTACGCCACGAGACACCACTCTCAGTAGAATATTATATCGACATTAGGACAACGCCTGTCCGATCCGTTAGTAATATATAATTAAAAATAGGACACCTATATTAGTATCTTCCTTTACGGCCGGCGCGTAAGGTCTGAAGAACTGCGTGAACGCTTCTACGTTGCATTGTCTTGTCTGTGTTCGGTATTGTGATCTTGTAGATGAATGTTTCTTGAAAAAACGGCGTTCTCAGATTCAAGTTTTAATTATACGGACTGGACAATGTCGCTCCGGTCCGTTAGTAAAAATACGACATACCTATATCAGTGTTTTCCTTTACGTCCGGCACATAAGCTTTGAAGAACTGCGTGACCACCTCCACGTTGCGGTTGTCTCCCTTCACTATTGTTATCTTGAAGCCGATGCTGTAGTGTTTCTTGAAAGTACGGCGTTCTCATATGCTAAGTTTTATTTATAAGGACTGGACAATATCGCTTCGGTCCTTTAGTAAAAATACGACTTACCTATATTAGTGTTTTCCTTCACGTCCGGCACATAACCTTTGAAGAACTGCGTGACCGCCTCCACGTTGCAGTTGTCTCCTTTCACTATTGTGATCTTGTAGCCGATTCCGTAGTGTTTCTTCAGAAAATACGGCGTTCCCACACATTGAAGGCGACCGCCAGACATGATAGCGATACGATCGCCCAAAACATCAGCTTCGTCCATAAAGTGAGTGGTCAGGATCATTGTCCGCCCTACGATTAACATAAATTTCAGTAAGTAACGGTCGTACTAAGTGAAGCTTAAGTTTTATATAGGCACGATAATGATGGTGATACTTTGTTCAATTTAGGGACCACAAGATTAAAGCTAAAGCTTTAAAATATCTAACATTAAAATGTAACGGAAAAGCAACTTTGTTAACAATTTGAATTACGCTTCTTTAACTATGAACCTTATTTGTTTATTTGAAGATATTCGAGAGATCTCAACCATGGCTGTAGTGAGCTTCAAACTTAATGTTGGCTGTGAAGTTAGCGTAAGTTGCGATCAAGTAAACGAATCCTATCGTGATGTATGTCACTGAACAACCGTGCCGTGAATTAGAACAAACTCACTTTTCACAGCGGAATCTATGTGTGATTTGAAATTAGAACAGAAATTTGGATACAAATTTTAAAGCCACCGCGGATTCCGAAAAGTGAGTTTGTTTTTACAGAATAGCACTGCGAGAACCGGCGCATTATTTTGCACACAGCTCACATCACAGCCGCCATAAAGTTTAAATCGCATTTTACCTTTCTTCTCCTTCTGCAAGAGATCCCACAGAGCTCTCCTGGCCGCCGGGTCGAGCCCTGATGTTGGCTCGTCCAATAGAACGACGCGCGAAGAACCGCACATGGCGGCTCCCACTGACAATCGCCTTTTTTGACCGCCGGACAAGTTACTTGACACCACGTTCCTCTACGAAAGTTGCACTTATGTCAATGCTCTGGGTATGTCAGAATACCAGTGCAGCAGGAATTTTACCTGCGTGTATGCTGAGCCATATCCAGTGTTAGCATCATATAAAATACATATTTATTATCTGTAGCTGTTTTTTGTTGTTGTAATTTTTTTTGTATCTTGTGTTTTACTTTGTATGTGTATGTGTGTGTGTGTGCTGTCAACAATTAAAAACATTTTTCTTTCTTCTTTAAAGTCAAGAAATCGGTTTAGTTTGGGCTTCGAATTTAGAGAGACAACAGTACCCTTAGTACGAACTAATATCGAATTCAAATAGCTTGCAAGTGCGAAATGTCAATATCAAATTTTGTGTGGAAACTGATCGAGAGCAGCGCCACAAGGGACGAAACGAGAACTAAAAATCAGTACATATTTAACGTATACTCGTACCTAGATCGAATTCAATAATGGTTCGTGCTAAGGGAACTGTACCCTTACCACGAACATACCCAGTGACATTTCGCACTCGCAAAGTAAACTGATATCGAATTCGTTAAGTTTGCGACTGCAAATCTTCATCGAGATATTTTATATGGTGACTTGAACAGCGCCACAAAGGACATAACGAGAATTAAAAATCAGTTGCACCACACGAACTTCTTGATATTTGGCGCTTACAGAAATCGAATTCGATAATGGTTCGTGCTTAGGGTACCTACTGTAATTCGAGACGAGCCGCACGTGGTGCCACCCACTAACAATTGCTTCTTTTGACCATCGGACAAGATACTTGACACCACGTTTCTCTACGAAAGTCAAAAAAACAGCTAAGTTTCGCATATAGAGGGAGAACAGTAATTCGCGTAGAACCGCACATGGCAGCACTCACAAACAATCGCCTCTTTTGACCACCCCGGCCAAGTTACTTGACACCACGTTTCTCTACTAAAGTCAAGAAATCAGCTTAGTTTCGTATTTTGACGACCACCGTGGCCGAGTGGTTTGTACGCCGGCTTTCATGGTGTCGCCGACTCGAGAAGTCCCTGGTTCGAATCCCGGTGGAGGCAGATGTTTGTGTGATGAATACGAACATTTATACTCCAGTCATGGATGTTTAATATGTATTTCTATATAAATATACTTATATATGTATCCTATCAGTTACTCTATAGGGTGCTATAGCATCCCATAACACAAGCCTTATAGTGTTTCCTTTGGGGCTAGGCTAATTGATGTGAGTGTTGAAAATATTTATTTATTTAGAGGGAACAGAAAGCATGAAGAACCGCACATGGCGGCACTCTATAACAATTGCCTCTTTTGAGCGACGTACAAGTTTCTTGACATCACGTTTCTCTACGAAAGTCAAGAAATCAGCTTAAGTTTCGAGAACAGCAACGCTTGAAGAACCGCACATATAGGCACATAGTAATAAATCGCTTCCGTACAATCCTGTTACGGTATATAATTATATACGTAATTATATAACGGATTTAACTTTCATATTGCGACATATACGAGTACCTACACATATACTATTGTGTTATATGAAGGTGACGGCGACTTTTCGGAGCATAATGAAGTAATTGATGGAAGATTGAATATGAAGATTTTTACATCGATTTTCTTTAACATTTTCGTCAGGACTTAGTTTTGGGTCGCCTCTTATTGTGTTATCATATGCCACGTGAATGTTTTGCGGTTTCATGAAATAAAATAAGCTCTCATTAGCACTAATGTTATCAACGAGTTAAATCAGAAATGTTATAAAGTATCAAGCTCATGGCAAATAATATGTGACATTACAATGGCGCTCCGATCAAAGGCCACTTTCATAGTTATTATATATGTATTTATATTTGCCTCATGGTATCGAACTTCGAATGCTCAGATTCCGCGAGAAATATAGTTATACTAAATCACTTAAATATGTGTAAAAACATGCTGCATCAATATTTATTAGTTACCTTTTCTTCGAGCTCGAGAAGTTTAACAAAGTGGTCTACTTCTGCTTTGAGTTTTTTGCTGGGAACTCCTTTTAGTCTCGAGTAGAATATAATGTGTTCGGCGACAGTGAGATCCGGGAATAAGACGTTATGTTGCGGACATATCCCGAGGGATTTGCGTGCAAGCTCCGTCTCATTCACGATGTTGTAACCATTTATCATGGCCGAACCAGATGTCGGTGGGACCATACCTGACGAGCAAATGACTATATACATTTCCGGACTACTTATAGCCATTATTCAGTAATATTTTCAACGTGTCGCCTACTCAGAGGTCCCGGTTTCGAATCCAAATGTTTGTGTGATGAACACGAGCATTTATTTGTACCAAAGTCATGGATATTTATATATATACATTAAAAGAAAAAAACTGACTCCTTTTCATGTAACACGTCCCACATGAAAAATATTTTAATTTAATTTTTAACTTAATATTCGGCTTTAGGCAAGCATTTACATAAAATAACGAAATTTCTGTAACTCATTCCGTTTATGATCTAGAGAGCCGTGACATACGTACAGACACACAGCCGACAGAGTGACAGCAATAGAGTTCCGTTTTACCCTTTGGGTACGTAACCCAAATAAAACGAAAATTATAACTGACCTGTTAACATAGATATAGTTGTGGTCTTTCCAGCACCATTGTGTCCTAATAACACCGTTATTTCATTTTCGTACATTCTAAGATTTAAATTATCAACAGCCTTTTTCCGGCCTTTATATATTTTTGTGAGATTCTGAAAATTTAATAAAAATAAAGAAAAGGCTATAATCTCATAGCATTATTGACTATAAAAAAATATGTTAACTCTCAGTTTAATATATCTTACCTGGATATTAACGCCCATTGGTACACCTTTTGGTTCTTCGTCATGTATCACCTTCAACAAAACATCGTTGTACTCTAAATCAGCGCCATCCTTTTTAGTTATCGCTAAAACGAACATGATGTTATGACATTTTTGGTACTCATCGTAACGATATCAAAATTGGCCACAATTTAATTTTCTTCTTGTGTGCACCTGCATTACGGGAAATGTTATGCCAGCACGTGATGCTATTCGTATTTACTATTTGTAAACTTGACAAAAGTCTGTCCCTATCATGCTTTAAAAGGAAGGAAAAGGACAGACTGATGTCAAGTTTACAAATAGCCAAGTGAAGTGCGGGCATTATTTTAATTACGATCTGTCATGTAACAGAAGTTTGATAATGCAATTTTTATTCGAACCACTAAACTAAAAAACAACATATTTTCTATTTACAATATACCATAAAACAACAAAAAGATCCAATGCGTGCATTTTTGAAGTAACATCTTCAATTACACGAGGTCAAGTGAAACCATTAATAAGATGCCGACGCCGGCTTGTATTGAGGTATTAATAAACTATAATCGCTGCTAAACAGTACTTTAAATTACACGCAATTATTGCGCACTTTGTTTTGATTAATGAATAATTTATGATGCCAGATATTTTTAAACTCGTTGCATGTGTGACACATTACAAATAATCTCTAAAGGGAAGGCTCAAAAAGCATGTTGTAAGTGATACCCTAGTTATCCCACTATTATTAATTATTATTCACTGATAAAGTTTATTGTATTGTAATAACTGCGCGTGACTTTAATTATTGAAACTCTCTCTACCACACCTCACAGGAAGTACCCGCGTTTATAATTATATTTCTTACTTACCAGCTGTCCTTTTTTTGTTGGGTCGCCAAAAACTCTTGGTGAATGGGAAATACCAGGGCAAGGGTACTCCATACAGCCCAGGCCTTATCTTTTCTATATACATAGCTATGAGCATATACAGGATCGCATCAAGTACCAACATCAGGGCTACGTGCCCTGGCTGGTACTGATCATGATACGACACAGGTGAAAAAAAATCATGCCATTGTAGACCTTGAACAAGCGAAAGAAATTGGTTGATTGAGTTTTATTAAGAGCAAACGTAATAAATATTCGGCGAATAATGTACATGAAATTTTTATCAAGCCAAATAAAACGAGCCCCAACACGATCTGGTTGCGTTGTTTTATTAAATAGTTATCAGAGAAAACATCTAGACTTCATCATCAGATCAGCTTCCATGTTATAAAAAAGCATTGTAATCTGATTTAAAAAGCTCAATCGAAAGCCGAAAAGTAAGTCAAAAACTTGCAGGATTTGATTACCGAGAGGCTGACGCATATACTTATAAATTATTTTTTGTGTTGGTTAAAGAATTACAGGTCTTTATTTTTTTGGAACGCGGCATTTTACGAGCTAATATATAGGTAAAATAACAATTTTTCACATCAATAACATAACCTAAGAAAATATTTCTTCCGAAAATGGTACCCCATCTGCGGGTGAATTAACAACATAAAAACATTAATATTATATAGCCAAGTTACTATTTACGTAGTGGAGTCTAAATGATAATTTAAAAAATATGTGTTCTTTATTATATTAATACTTTTAAACATTTAACTGATAGTTGTTTAAATATAAAGAAAATGTTGCTAGAAATAATTATTTCTTTTAAAAATTAAACCACTCTCGTCGTCCTCCTCCTCGTCGGATTTCACACAAAGTTTTCGCACTTTATTATCATTATTTTTTTTCTCGAAAAGTAAATTTTATTAACAAATATTGATAAAGGGACAACTTAAAAGTAATAGAGTTAATATAAAAATAAAATGAGGCTTATTTAAATTACATGCATATTCCCTATTTACGTGGAGTTCTCTATTAATTATTTAGCTACCACCACAACGTAGTATAATAAATCTAAATGATAAACTATAGATTCATCAATTGATTATTTTATATTCAATTAGACTGGCAGTAGTAGCAGCGTAACTTAATGTTATGTGACAGAATATAAAACTTCCAAAGTAAATTAATAATAGATGAAAGGTTTTCACATAATTTGGATGAATTGTATTTATGATGACTACCACAGGGCAGTAATTAAATTACAGTATATACATAAATGAATATCATAGCTAAACTAATGATTTATTTAATATCTATGAACTTTATTATGACGTTATTAGGTAATCATTAAAATAAGACGCTTTTTGCGAACCTGATAATAAATATTTATAAAACTTTTTCAGATGAAAATCAGTAATTTGCGAGACTCACCTTTAGATGTTCCTTCACACATAATTATCATCTGGAACGCGTACCCCATAGCTGTGTTAGATATAAGGCTCAGCAATAGTTTGGTCGTCAAACTGATGTCTTCGTATAGTACTTGCGTCAGCATGAACACAGAGTATGTCGAGAACCAAGCAAGCCCCATGAAAGACGCCGCAGTGTTCGCTGCAATATCCGGTATTACGGTCATTTAGATGCTGTTGGTTGACTAATATCCGCAACACCTTATTATTGAACCATAAAATGAGTGAATTTGTCTATAGCCAGAAGCACGCTATTTTATATATATATTTAATTTAACACATAAAATCAATTTACCGAATTGATTTGAATTTTATACATTGACTTTGGAAGAAAATAGAATTCGTAAGTTCGCTTATATCAAAGTGTATTAAATAAAATAACGCAATCCACCATGTCCTGCATGTATGATTATAGAATCGTTTTAGAAACATATAAGATTTCAAAACTACGAAAGGTAGATTGTGGGCACCGATATATATGCATTAAAAGTCAGTTGATTTTTAAAATTGAGTAGCCGGTGCCATAGAGTTTTCCTTCTTATCGATACGTCTTTAGACAAAGACAAGCATATCGCATCGACCCAATTTCCAGTAAAATAACGGCCATTAGCAAAAGGCCTGAAAGATACATTTACATGATGGACCATTTATTAATATAACCGCCTATTTAAATTGATACAGTTATGAAACAACGACGTCAAGTGGTCTAAATTGATATTGAGAATGCAATAATTATAGTCATAACAACACGAGCAATTGTAATTTCCAACCGAAGTTTATTAATCAACCAGCTTAGACTATTATGTCTCACAAGCATTTTTTCGAATTTAGTGCAGTTATTTGAATCCAGTAGTGATAGAAACAGAGTACAGTTGGCACAATTTACAAACTGAATCAGTTGCGATCATCGGCGAACAATTCTATAGATGACGGGTTGCATAAAAACCAAAGCTAAAAACTGTCCACATATGTTTAAACTTATGCAGCTAGCTACATTCGATTCCCAATGAACAAAGATAAATGTTTTAAATAAGTATCTGTTTAACCTAATAAAACCTATCTCACAAACAAATAAGGTTACAAAAAACAAAATATTATTCCGCACATACGACCTTTTATCTTATAAAACTCTGGTACCTTTTATAAATTATATCTGAGACTTGGAAAACAAAGAACAAATGTGAAAAAAAGGAAAATGTGAAATCAACCTTATGACCCACAAAAAAAATATTTTTACCAGTCATTGGCCAGCGAGTTACTTCGTTTTGTATTAACCGAACTAATTTGACGACCTCCGTGGCAGAGTGGTTTGTACGCCGGGTTTCATGGTGTCGCCGACTCGAGAGGTCCGGGTTCGAATCCCGGTGGGGGCAGATGTTTGTGTGATGAATACGAGCATTTGTACTCCAGTCATGGATGTTTACTATGTATTTCTATATAAATACACTTATATATGTACAGTATATGTATTCAATCCGTTACCCTAGCATCCCGTAACACGAGTCTTACAGTGCTTACTTTGGGGCTAAGGTAATTGGTGTGTATGGAAATATTAAAAAAAAAAAAGATCTCACACCTCAAGTGAGGCTATATTTACCGAGACGGATTTTACGTGACCCTTGACCCGTTATCTATAGAATTATTGTTGATCGAAGGTTGCGATCAAATAATTTACGAACATTTATTACAAGATAACGTACTATGATTAGAATTGGTTTAGTGTGGTAACCTAGGTAATGTTATTTATATACTCTTGTCATAACAGTTGGTACGGTTGAAAGCTGTTTGATTTATTTTTTTATAAATAAGTTCAACATGATCATCAGCATATTATTTTCTCATTGCTAGGGAACAAACCTTCCCACTGCAAGCCTTCTCTATAAACTGAAAGAGAGAGAAGAATTATGCATCCAGATGCAGCCGGAGCAGAAAGCAGGCGAAACGCCTCTAGTGCTCTAGAGGACATCGATCGTTGGGTAAATTATGAACCAAAGGGTTGTAAGTACTCGTACAACGTAATAAATATATATGTATAAAAGGCAACCGTTACTGACTGCCTGATCTATCAACGCAGAGCTCAAACCACTGAACGGAATGCGCTGAGATTCGGCACATTATATAGCTATTATGATGCAGGCGTGCGCTAAGATTTTTCTAAAACTCACTCCCTAAAGGGGTAAAACGAGGATTCAAAGTTTGTATGGAGCACCAAGATCGCGAGGTTAATCCTTTCACTAAATTGTCTATAAAGAAGTTTTGTAGAGTTTTGTTTTATTTAATGAGTTTGACATTCATTCACTCAAATCAAATCTAACGCGAGCGAAGCCGCGGGCAAAAGCTAGCCTAATATAAAGTCTGGTAAGGGACTCACCTCTGGTAAAAAATACGCTAACCATGAAGCAGAATGCTAGCGAGGCGATCACAAATAGCACCATAAAGAATAGAAGCACCGAACACGGAGTGAATGTGAGCACCGAGTACCTATCGCCTGCCGCTGTCGAGTTAAATGGAATCTAAAAGATAATATAAAAATTTCTATGAATGTAACAAAAATATACTCATCAAAAAACCGTTTAAGCAACATTTGATTTTAACTATTTAATATTATCAACACAATCGAAAAGTTTATATTTTTCAAATCAGCCAATTGTGTTCCGAGTACAAAAAATATTATATACCAATCTTATTTGCTAAGAGAAATGTTGCATGTTGCTTAGACTTTTTTGATGAGCGTAGTGTTCATTTGGGCAGTGTCATTTATCTGAGCTCCGAAAGAAGCTTCATCTGATTAATGCATGACCTTTAGTTAAGTTATGATACATATTCGGAAGACAGTACCCTACCACCCTACCCTACCCTACGTACCTCATGCGTTATAGTTGTTAGTTTTAACCCACTTACTTTAAGGTAAAATATGCGGGTCTTCTATTCTACTATAAATCTATTTAAATATGGGTGACATAATTATTGTAACATCTGTTTAACAACTGGTTGCAGTCTGTTTAATCCCCCTGGTTGGTAACCCATCGACATATTTTTTTATTATCTCTGTTGTGAGGGTCCCCCGGCTTGTGGGCCCTGGGCCACAGCTAGGGTTAGTAACAACTTGTTGTCTATCAAATATAGTATTTTAGAAGCTATTACCTGTCACCTTTAAAAATATAATAGATGCCAAAAAATATAGTCGGTTTAAATATTTACTTATGTTTTAAAATTAATATTTTTTGCTACTATGTGCCTTTCTAATTTAATTTTTATTTTTAAGAAATCTTTTACTGATAAATTTCTTCTTTATGGAAAATATAATAGTTTCACCTACTATATATTTTTTTCAGAAATATAGTATTTAATCTCCGAATATAGTAGGATACTATATGATACATTAGGGTTGGCAACCCTAGCCACAGCCCCGTCTGCCATGTTTTAAATCCGGCCTTGACTGTCTCTATTTTGATATGGCGAATAAAAAGTATATATATATATATATATAGTACTCAATCACAACTGCAAAATAATGTTTTCCAAAAATAGTGTTAGCATAGTATATAGGTATAGATAACCCGAACGACCAGTCTAAACAAGTGCCGCAAATATTTTGTAAATATAAAAAAATATTTTTACGGCAACAGACGAAAGCCAGATGAAAACCTGGAATAGTCTTAAGAGTTTCTAGTATTTTTATATAAAAATCTAGCAGTTTAATATAATTAAATACAAAAAAATACAATCACACACACCTTAGTATATTTATACAACAAACAGGTAAAAAATACGAATGCGTCATAGTTACGTCAATAACGCCCAGTACGATCTTAAATAAATAATAAAAAGGCACGTTTTGCGGTAGGCGCTGCAGGTAGACTTTGGTATTAAGATGAAAACCTGGAATAGTCTTAAGAGTTTCTAGTATTTTTATATAAAAATCTAGCAGTTTCATGTAATTTAATACAAATTACACACACCTTAGTATATTTATACAACAGGTAAAAAATGCGAATGCGTCATAGTTACGTCAATAACGCCCAGTACGATTGAGTACGATCTTAAATAAATAATAAAAAGGCACAATCAGCAGATTCTATCTTTGAATCATAAAAATAATATCAATAGTATGAAAAAATGGTTTAGTGCGAGTACAACTCGCGCGCCGAGGATTTTATACAAACTTGTGTATAAATATCGTTCATAACGGGAATACATAACTGAAGTTTACAGGTATTTTAATAATTTTATTTGGATTTATGACATCAAACGTCAAAAAAAAACAAAAAGATTCCATTGCCAGCAGCATATAATAAGTATGCGGTATAAAATGAGAATAAAATTATCGAAGTTTAATTTGTTCACTGCTTCGAGGGCACAGAACACAGCTTTCTGTGTTCTACATACGAAGGATTGTAGATACATATGGAGTGACAACAAAGTGGAGTATACAAAATACCAAAAATAATTGACTATATTAACATTCTTATACTTGCAAATCAGCGATAGTCAACAAGAAAATAAAATAAAAAATACAAGTTATAAATAGAACAGTTGTTCTTATGATTATTTAGTTATTTTTTTTAAGCAGTCTTATACTAATTATTAAGAACTTCGTAGTATGAAGAGCTTTGATCATAAAGAAACACCACTCACCTTGAACAATGCGACCATTAAAATGATAGATATGAAGAGGAATGAAAACTGCTTGATAAACCACGCCATCCAATGCAGCCACGAAGGTAAACCCATAATGGTCATGGTTTCCTAAAAAAATCAGAATGATTACCAAATTGTTTCTTTTTTGTTTTTGGTGTGTTTAAATTACTTTTTAATAAAGCTGTTTAATATAATTAGTAAAAAAAATCTAAAAGTCACCTGACTACCTATATTATTAAACAAATTATAGTAAAGCATATACAATAGTTTCATTTAAAAAAATAGGATTGCGTATAAATTTGGTACCTTTAATTGTAACTCCTTTTCAGCCGTGACTACTCTGACAGTATTGACGAATGTATATGCAAAACAGAGCATTATTATCATGGAGATAAATCTTTCGAGGGCAATCAACAAGTCGTCATCCCTGTAAGCGTTTTGCGGTAGGCGCTGCAGGTAGACTTTGGTATTCAGAGGCTTTCCAGATTTCTGCTTAATAATCTCCTTGGATATAGCGTGCTGAACAGCGAGAAACATTTCAGGAGAGTAACCTAAAATTTTTCTTGGATTTAAACAATTTTATTGACGTGACAACGTCTTAAATTAGGTTGCGGCTGGGAGTCACTTATGAAAAAGTGTAACGCTCGGTAACGTTACGATGAGTCTCTCGTGTTAAGTTTAAGTTTACATGTACAATGTTTTAGTAAACAAAATATATTTCTATAGTTAAAATTTGTGCAATTCTTATTTTCATTCAATTCCTTGTTCCTATTGTGCAATTTAATTATATTCATATCAATAAATATTCTACCGAGAAAAAGACGTTGTCACGTAAAATCTTCGCCCGTAAAACCGACTTTACAGGCAACCATTTTTTTATTTTTACTATTACCACGGACAATACTATTTTATATTAACTAGCAAACCAGTGAACCAAATGTTCACCAAAAAAAAAATGTATTTAATTAATTGAGAACTTCGGAGATTTTGTGTGGTTTCGTTTGAAATAGAAATCACGTGATTTCTCGAAAACCGGAAGTGCTGCGTTACTCACATCCGGTTTGTAGTCTTATCAGACTATTCTTAACTTATAACTTAAACATTCTCTATGTCTATCTCTTACGGTTTGGCCGCTGAAACAGCACCACGGACGGACGGACGGACTTGTCTAATACATAAGAGATATGTATATATACAACCATTACTGGCTGATCTTTCAACGCATCAAACCTCTGAATGGATTGCGCTGAAATTTGGCACACATATAGCTATTATAATGTAGGCGTGCGCTAAGAACTGATTTTCCAACACTCACCCGCTAAAGAGAAAAAACGGGGGTACAAAGTTTGTACAGAAAAAAATATTTCTACGCAGACGAAGTTACGCAGACAATAAGAGATTAGAACTAGATCTAAAATGGCGAACTAAAAATGCTAATTTCAAAAGCGGGACACTTAGTCATAAAATAATATACGTATATCATTAAGGGTAATTCTAATAAAAAAAAATTGCATGAGGCAATTCTTAAAATCCAAGTCATGTTTGCAGAAGATGACTCGGCATTTATTTACCTAGCTACTGTCACGCTATTTCGGTAGGGTTTGGCTTAAGTATTTTAAGGTCGTGTAGTAGTAATCGAACAAATTCATTAGTTTAATAGATTTCAATCGAATTCACACGCGAGAACGAACGAGCTTTAGTTTGAATGTCGTTTCAATCCCCTTCGGCCATCTGCGAAGCTGTGGTTTTGTAACTAGTTTCGATGGTGGAATTATTCTTCTTTCTACGAAACCACGTTTACGTAGGTACAATGAATTGGCCGTTAAGGTTTTCGTCTCAGATTACAGAACATAAGGCAAATACGAAGGCACGTTAAGTCGTTGGTCCCGGCTGCATCTGCAGTCGTTAGCACCCGCCAACATCCCCATTGAAATATTGACTAACAATGAACAGATTTGATGCAGGCTTTTGGAGACATAGAGGGTCATCGATCGGAACAAACTTTCGTATTTTATCATGGACATAGGACCTCGATACTTAGTCCATGTGTGTTATCATATTCATAAAATAATGTAAATATTAATTCCATACAACTTTTATTTATAACAATAATCATATTCGGTCTGTTTTAAATTTTACAGAAGTAATCCAATAGATCCTGTGTAGGCAATAATCCAATAAACAAATATGAAGCCACCACATAGGTACTTACATATTTATCCTTAGAAAGTATTTATCAATAATGAATAGGTACTCAATTAAGTACTTAAGGATTAAAAGTTAAGTTTAAAAACTCAATTTAAATTATTTAAATAAGAAGAAAAACGTCGTATTATGTTTTACTAGCTGTGTCCCGCGGTGTTACCGGCGGTTTATTAGGGATATTTTCCCACAGTAAAACGAAGCCCATGTGTTAATCCAGGGTGTCAGCTAACGCCATACCAAATTTTATTTAAATCGTTCCAGCCGTTTAGAAGTGAAGTAACAAACATACACACACACACACTCACAAACTTTCGCATTTATTATATAAGTATGATAATCATTCATAAACACTTAGTGTGCGTAAGCTTTAAGCTTAACGAAACAATCGGATTATCAGATAGTATAGTAAGGTACCAATGACCGACAAGAACCAATGATCGAAATTTTCGTCTGTGATCAATGAAAATAAAGAGTTGGTAACCGAAAAACTAAATACCGAGCGTCCTTAGCTCGGTGTTACCATATTTAATGATCGGTTAGGTGGCTATGATACCAAAGAGATTGTTAATATAGTTATGTACTTTAATGTATTTATAATTAATTGGTACTCACCTGGTGTTTTTCCACCGTACAAGTCTTCAGCTTCCCGGGGACCGGGGCGAGGGAATAAAGGGAAAAGTAAATTGGTCCTCCAGCTCGCTCTCAACGGGTGTTCCACCATGGGAGTCCTCATCACAGCGGGGAATCTGAGAGTTACCTTCACGTCATTCGGCCACTTGGTTGCATCTGTTGTAATAAAAACCATCATTTCTTTTACAATATTATTATGATAAAACCGACAAGGCGTGTGTCAGGGTTGCATTCTAAATGTTCCGTACCATAGTAAAACTTTAATATCATTTGGAAAAAAAAACGAGCAGTTTTGGGAATTTCCATGGCAACATTTCACGTATGGAGCCCCCTCTATTTTTTACAACTTCATTATATGTATGAAAAAATAAATAAAGGTAAAAGAAAACACCAAACAAGGTCGAGTCAGACTCGCTCGCAGACCCATAAAGAGACGTATCCGTTTTTATGTTAACATAGAAGTATGGGTTTCACAGCTTCAAGGGGCTGTAATTCAGAGTATATATCTTAAATTCATCTCGATACCTACACGTTTTCTCGAGATGAAGGGTCTTGACAGACAGACGGACAACAAAGTAATAAGGCTTCCGTATTTTTCGTTTTGAGGCACGGAGCCCTAAAAACGGCTGAGAAGCTGACACTTTGACAGACGGGCGGACGGACAATTAGTTATAGTGTTTCCTTGACATACTTAGGTTAAAGAACCCGTTTCTTTTTAAATTGTAGCTATATTTTTGTAACTTTTTAACTATTGTGGCCCTGCGGTAACAAGCGACTATCAACGCAGCAGTAAGCAAATCTACATATATGTGTATAAGGCATGGTATGGTTACTTATTATCGATAAGACCTTCGCTTACTTTCAATCTTATAAACAGGTATAAATTGTTTTTTACGAAAATACAAAGTATGAGTCTATGGTAAGTTATAATGATATTGCGTAAAATAGAGAAAAAGTTGACAACGCAAAGCCAACGAACTGTAGTCAATAGTTTTCACTAAGACATTGAACCTTTTATGTTATTATGGGCTCCCACACAAAACTGAGATGCGATGCGACGTTGCATCGCAGGAACTTGCGATACGAATTGCTGCGATAAGATTTCGTGCGGCAAAGCTTTGGTTAAGGTGACCATACCTTCAACGGTGTTCAGCCGTATTAAACTTATTTTAGTAATAATGACATGGATCGCAAAAAGATTGTTACACTGCTGTTAGTTATTATTAAATAGATATGAAATAAAAATAATATTTTGGGTTCATCCATTTATAACGATTTTGAACGCTGATTGGAACTATTTTACTCGAAAATACCATAGTTTGAGAACAGAAGAAGACTTTTTATTTTTATTTTAGAATGAGCATATCTTCTTCTGAAGAGCTTTTGAGTTTATTATCACCATATCTACAAAAACGATCGTACAAGGGAAGTCTCAGAGCGGACTTAAATGGCGTCATTAAGTGTAACGTAATATCGCAGAAATGCATGATGCGAATCAGATCGTAAGTTTCTGCGGTGAATTCATGCGACCTCGTAGATATCTGCGATGCGATGCGACCTTCCAATACCGAAGGGAAGTTTTAAGTATTTCATTTAAAAATACATCTATTTTCTTGAAATATTGTGGGAGAAAATAATAGTTTACGTGCTATTACAGATAATAATTGTATATTAAAATTGTTAAATGTTGCTAATAAATAAAAATCTCACATACTTTTTAAGATAATAATAATAAATTGCAGGTTGTAGTGATTAGCGTAGCTACTGAAAATTAATTTATTTTCGGTCATACTATATTTGGCTTGACTTGACCTAGATTTCTTTCTTGGCCCACTTTAATTATAATTGGCTCAATTTTTCAAAAACGTCGGTAAATTACTTAATGAGATTTTTCCGGATCATTTCGCTTGACAATAATCAAGTTTGACTTTTACAATAGTAAATATAATAATATAAGCCTAGTACTAGTTAAGCCTACCTTTCATTACATACTTATATAACGAATACAATTAAGACGCTTGTTTTGCGTTCACATATACCAGGACCGGATTCAAGGCAGGGTAGGCGGGGCTGTGGCCCAGGGATAAAAAACAACAGAAATGAACCCCCCCCCCCCCCCCCCTGTAGTGGAGACAATAATTATTCAGGTGAAAAATAGAATATATGGCTTTCACATACCATACTGCTTGAAAATTGGAAAGAAATTACTGTCTCATGAATAAAATACCTACTATAAAGGGCGTATGCTACTCAATCTGTTCTAACTGCCCCATTAAAAAACACACCGGGGTAGATGGTATGGATGGTAGTGTGCCATCCACCCCGGTCAGGGCTACCGGGGTCGATGGAACAATTTTTCCCAACTGCCCCGTTACGAGGCGGGACGAACGAGGTGGATGGAACCGACTAGGGAATGGTCCCAGGAAATCCCGGTCCCGAAAATACCGGCATATCCCGGGATTCTGCGATGACTAAAACACAAGGGACTCAAAACCTCCCCCGGTTCTTTCGTTACTTTTGGGTTTAAGTAAAAAGCCTCTAGTTTTTTATCTCTTTTTATCAATCATGTGCGCTAACGGTACCCGATTCACTTGTAGTTCGTGTTTGCCAGATCGCGAAAGAAGAGAGGTGAAAAGAGGGCACCTACCGAGTGGCGTAATCTGCCACACTCTCGGCGCTACCCACATCCATTTGCAACTATGGATATGTTGTGTGTTAACTGTTTTAATGCACACTGTTCTAAAATTTGTAAATACGTACTCCGTATAAAACTGAAATCCAGGGGGTAGTTGAGTTTCTATTGGCAGTCAGCAACGTTACATTAATTCGATACTCAAAATCCTCCAGAAGCTTTACAATTCCATCATGCCCAAAGGCACCAAAAGCATAGAAAATAATTGAGGTCCTCCTATTTTTCAAAGAGAATGGCAAGACTCCCTTGAGAAACTATCTAATAACCTCAATACTGATCCATGTTTATAAGGTGTTTTAGAGTCATTAAGAATCGTCTCGCACACAAGTTTGACGTCTCTCAATCCCCTAGCATGCCGGGTCCCGAAAAGACTTTAGTACCGTAGACAAAGACAGACACACACATTCATACACGGTGGCAGGTTATACAGAAAACTGAAGAGTATAATCTGCCTGGCGTTTGTGGACTTCGAGAAAGCCTTCGGTTCTATTAAAATCTGGGCTTTAGGTACTTCAGTCTCTTCAAAGGTGATAAGTAGATTTCAGGTATATCGAGCCAATCAAAAATGCCACTATGACAGAGAACCAGAGCTCTAATCCTATCTAACTAAAACCAGGCGTGAGGCAGGGAGGATTCAATATCCTCGAATCTGTTCATAGCTGCGTTGGAGGATATTTTTAAGCTTCTGGAGTGGAATGGACGTGACATAAACATTAATGGCCAGTTCCTTACACGGCTTCGTTTCGCCAATACGTGGTCAGGGCCTGATTTATCCACAGGCTCATAAGGTTGGAGCCTATGGCGCAAGGGCCAAGGAGAGGCCGGCGGGTCTGGTGCTGAACTGAGACTAATAATATTTCGTAATTTTGGTAAAATACGTAAAAATAAAGTAAAATTCCTGCAAGCGCTCTGACACAAATTAAAAACCATAGATGGGTACAAGCATCACGAACAATATTGTTATAACAGAATGATTTTTTATAAAAAAAATTGACGATATTGTGGAAGGGTTCGCTAGCGAGAAAGCAAGGAAACGGAGTTCTCAATTCTTAAAGTAATAGCGCAATATTTGTTGCAAGGATGTTTTTTTCTCTTATTTTCTTCTTTTATATTTTTAGGAATAAATACATAGATTGTAACAATTAGTATTGCAATTATTTGGTTCCTATCGTCTTTCGTTTAAGAGGAGGGCGGAGCTTTTAAAATAAGTTTGGTTAGCTTTTTGTTCTTTGGAACATCTTCTTTCTGATGGTACTCAAAATTCGGGATCGCGATTTTCGGGAAAACTACAACTTATATCGAAAAAAAAAAACAATAGCAAATTTGAAAGTGTTTACAGCATCTACAACTTGTCTATGTATATTTTTTGTCTATCATCAGAAAGAAGAGGTTGCAAAAACAAAAAGCACACCAAGTTTGATTTAAAAATCAACTTTTTTACGGGAGATTTTTCGATTGAAAATAAGATAACTTTTTAGATATAGTATCCAATATAAGGGAAAAAACAAATATTTTCAATATTCGGCTGATTAACTTTTATCGAAGCTAATGAGATACCCACTGCAAGACTAACAGATACTATTATTTCTTTTTGTTTGCATGATTTAACATAAGAAGGAGACAGAAAGCCTCTCTGAGTTTTTTCGCCAGTTCTTCTCAGAAAGGTCTCCCAATTTTAGAATTGGTGGTAGTTTACAATAGTTAGGGTCAAATAAATATACTCAAAATTATAAAAAAATATATATAAAATACTTTATGTTTGAATTTATTACCTTATTAATTAAATAAGCTAATTAATTCAAACATAGACAATAAAGTTTTAAAAATCTTCCAATGAAATATCTGTACGCTCACTAAGTCTTAAGAAGGTAGCTCGATAAAGTAAATAAAATCATAATTCTGACGATGCAGCCTGAAAAGGATGCGAAACGTCATAAATAAATAAATAAATCAGTGCATTCATATCGTTGAAACTTGTTTATTTTAATAAGTATGTTATTTACAAAGGAGATTGCTCAGCTTCCATACATGTTTGGCCTAAAGACCAATAATCATGTAAAATTGTTTCCTAGATTCGAAAAATTTAAAAATTACTGTAGAAACGAATATTATTGACGGACAACCCTGAGAACTTCTATAAACCATATACACTGAATGATTTTGAGGTTATGTTTGCAAATAGGTACATAGGTATTAAAATAATAAAAAACAAATAAGTTATATAGTAAACTAGGGAAATCAAACAAAGTACCGAAATTATGTATTAGATTCAGGTATATAAAGCATGTAGATTAATAGATAGTTGCCTGTTTTTAAAGTTAATGCATATGAGTAACTTTTCAAATCAGGTATCATCTATGCATTTCAGGTTATAATAAGTAATAAGGTACTCTGTGACAGAAACTGTGTGTTATTTGTGGATGAGCCACAGATTAGAGAGAATTTTTAAACTCGCGTTAACTAAAGAACGCTTATTATTTTTGTTATGTTTATATTATAACCATATGTTAGGTTTTTAGTGTATCACACCTTATAATGTGTTTATGGAGGTGTTTGCCGAAAAATGTATGGCAATAGACTTTATGATGTCGCCTACCATCTATAATATTTGTCTTAGCACATTTGCATGTAGTAAAAACGATAATATACTTGTGGATATTAATACCACAGTGTAATAAAAAAATGATTTATTTTATCGATCCTTAAAAAAATAGATTTGTTTTGATGTTATATAAACAACTTCGATCAGTCTTTGGCTGAATGTTACTACACCCATAGCCATTAAAAAAGATTCGTATGTTTCCAAACCGGTAAAATTAAAAGTCCTTTTTAAAATGAATATATTATACAAAGGTGTCCGTTAAAATGTAATGACTGTAAAATAAAATATAAATTACGCCAAGAATTACCGTATATGTCAATATTTTTTGGACATTTGGGCCAATTTGAGCAATCTCCTTTGTGCCGTTTTATGATGTTTTGTAAGTCTGCCGATATAAACCAATATTTTTTAAGGGGGTGTAGTACATTTACTGTTTATAACTATGCGAACTACATTTATTTACACGATTTTTAAGTTTCTCGGGTAACTCAAAATTCACGGTGTATAGGAATCCCGAAAGATTCGGGAGTCCCGGTTCCATTATCGGGTGGTCCCGAACATCCCGAGAATCGAGTTTTGCACCGGTTCTTCATTCCCTAGTACAGACCCTTGCCGTGACCCTATTGCGCCAAGCTACCTCCAAATTATATAATCTGAATAATTGACAAAAGACTGAGTGAAATACATTATTATAAGGCCGTACTAATGCATTGTAGGCTCTTAACTTATTGATAGACGAACACGAAATTTAAGTCGCCCTTTAGTCGTCCCCGAATTAAACTAAGTAGTTGATCAAGACCGGTTAACCATTGAAGCGTTTTTTCAACTTAGTCGGTTGATTTAACTAGTCTAGCAGCGGTACCGTCATAAACGTAGTTGCGGCAGCATTTTTGGTTTTTCTTATTTATTTAAAAGTAAAAGAAAGTAATCAAATTGTTTTTACAAGGGTACCTAACACTGTTTTCAAAAATCAATAAAATCGTCTTTTTCACTAATTTAACTCTATATGTCTCCTCGTGAAAAAAAACTTAATTACTTTTTTTTACTTTCAAATAAATACCAAAACAGATGCCAAAAATACGTTTTGTGACGGTCCTGCTGCTGGATGTGTTTGCTAGTTTCAGCTTCATTGTATTGTAATACAGTCTACACTCCTTGTCTTGAGATTTAACACCTGCCACACCATTTCGAAAGAAGAAATGGTTCGACTTCGGTCTAGGATGGTCGTTATTTTTAATAGATCGACACTGTTCTTATATCAACCGCTAGTTTGGACCCTGTGGAGAATTGCTGTCATCTTTGAGCTGAAGTACTCGGATAACAGTTACGGCCTCTTGACGCGATTCAGATACAATGTTTACGAAATTACGCGGGATGGCGGGCGCCACAATGGACGTCATTTGGGCGGCGAATAAGCATATTTTTGGCATTGTATGAGAGTATTTATGAAAAGGCGATTTTACACAAGATCATTTGAACTTAAGGCACTGCCCATGGTGGCAAGATCTTTGTTTGTAAAAAATAGCAAATCTTTAATCTAATATTAGTTATTTATCTTTTTAAGCATATAACTGCTAGATGTTGAAATTTAAAGAAAATTTTACTTGATAAAATTCCATGCGGATCAGGCAGTAGAGGGGACAGGAACCCGCACCCTTGCTATCAGTTATGTCACTCAAATGTTTTTATTATATAGGATAACATAACTCTGTACTTACTAGTAATGAACAAAGTTCACACTTATGTTCATTACTAGCCTCATGGCTAAGTTAAGTATTTGAAAACTGCACAGAATTTTTGTTTAGATTTAAGAGTTATGTATGGCCTAATTTACACCATTGTTCTTTTTAGACATAAACAAGAAAATTAATGAAATGGGGATAAATTTGGTACCAAATAAAAATACTTTTAATTTTTCCAGGCAATTAACAACATTGGTAAATCTCTTACAACTCTGGATACCGATGTGACACAATCAGAAATCCGTAGGCTACTAAGTAGCAGTGAAGAGTTGCTGATGACTCAGACATTGAATGGCTATGGCTGATTTTTTCATTGAAAGTTATAATATTGTCACCTTTAACTTACAAAATATAAAATGAAATAGAGTTGCACAATGTCATAACACATTTAATTATCTAAATAAAATATAACTAGAAAATATTCCATGCGGACCAGGCAGCAGAGGATTTTTTCTAGTTAGATTTTCTTTTGATTTAAAAATCAAGCAGTTACATGCTTACAAAATAAATTATTTCAATTAAGCAGCTTTTGCAGTGGCATGTTGTATAACAAGTGATAAAGATTTATAATCATTATATTTTAAGTCCATTGGTAACACCAGCACAGCTGTGAAGACATTAATATATTGATGATGATAATGATCGAAAATCGGGAGCAGTGGCGTGCATTAGGGGAGACCTATGTTCAGCAGTGGACGAGCATGGGCTGATGATGATGATAATGATAAAGATTTATTACGAATATTATAAATCAAATCAATTGAAACTTACTGGCCATGCTGTCCTCATATTGGATCCCAACAAGTATATAATTCATAACATTTGGTTGAGTAAGTGCCGATTCCATTTCTGCTGCATTTTTATAACCTTTTGGTTGGGGCAACATTTTTGTGTCAAAGAGCAAAGCAAGTAAGCCATTTAGATTGTCCAGTGCTACTGTAGCCATTGCATCTTCAGTTACCTTTCTTGTGAGGGGGTTTTCTGGTGAAAATGCTAAAGTTCCTTCTCTTTTAGCTGTAGTGAGGTTACCTCTAAAATATAAACATTACTTGCTAGAAAATATTAATACTACTGAAATAAAATATGACAAGCTATTCTAGAAGATATTTTTTCCATAACTTGTTTTAACCCATATATTAAATATAGGTACTTCTTTTACTGATAATTTTAAAGACATTTTAATACATATAGAATGGCATATTTTAAATAAAAATTAAATAACTTCCATATTTTAACTATCTATATATTAAATATTCAAAATATTGTGATACTTACAAGCTTTGCCCACTAATATTGAAATATGTTGGGAAAAATGGTGGGTAAGTAACTTCTGGTTTGGATTGAGGGTCCACAAGACACCTAACCAGTATAAGAAATAGAGAAAATATCACAGGTGATGCTATTTCAAATAAGGTCTGCCATTTGTGCCTTCTTTGAAGAAGAAAATTCTTCCAAATTAGAAGTTTCAACTTCTCATATGCAGACATGTTGTCCTAAAATATATAAATTCTTGTTAAAAATTATAGTTTGCTAGTGTCAATCAGATATATGCACAGGAAAGAAAGAAATGAAATTATTCAATTCACCTAGACAAAAGATTTAAAATATCGATAGTAGATACTTGAACATGTGTTTTGATTCACAAGACTACACTACAAAGTAATTGTCAGAAACACATTCAAGGTCATTAGAAATCTAAAATAATATTTTATCCAGATCCAATCCTTGATATTTAACACAAAGGCATGTGTTAGAAAACTATAAATTAACGTAACTAAAACTTTTCGGACTGAATTCATCCCACATTCTACAATTGTAACGAAATGTAATAAAAATAGATATCAACGCGCAGTATAATTTAGAGAGGTCTTTTAGTTGTTGTCTTCGTGTTTTGCATGGATTTTGATAAATTGCAATGGAACATCAATAGAAAAACCAGGTCCACTATGAATTAACTACATTTTTATTGTAATAAATACGATTTTATTTAAAGTATACTTACTATGTCTTTATTTATTACAGCATATTGTAAGTAAAATTATAAAGATTAATTAGATTTGGCTTTTTTTAGTCAGAACGTGATTTAAATTATTTATTTTTAATAAATTATTAAAACATTAAAAAGCTCTTCAACACTCAACACTTCACCTAACTTGCGAAACACCACTGTTGTCACTGATTGACAATCCGGACAGATTGATGTTTCTTTTTTTTTAAGTTTTACGGCTATGAATGATAAGAACAATCTGACCCGCTACATAGAATATTAATCTCTGATTCACGATCGTCAATACGGATTTAGGCCGAATCGATCGACGGGTGACCTTCTAGCGTACGTGACACACATCTGGGGTGAAGCTATAGATAAGCGGGGAGAATCTCTGGCTATCAGCCTTCATTTGGCGCCAAGGCTTTTGACAGGGTCTGGCACAAGCACAAAAGCCTTCTCTCCGAGCTTCCTACATACAGTCTGCCTGTTCAGTTCTGCGCCTGGGTAGCTGACTTCCTGTCTCTGAATTCTCGTCCTTACGGACGGATGTAGTTCGCAGTTCATGTCAGTCAATGCCGGTATTCCTCAGGGCTCCGTTCTATCTCCCACTCTCTTTCTGCTGCATATAAATGATTTGATTCCTCTTAGGAATATTCATTGCTATGCAGACGATAGAACAGTACATGCGACATACTTTGGACACGCAGAGGTTGGACAGTTAGAAACGGGAGAATCTTATAGCTGAAATCATTCAGGCTTTGGACCACATTACTGCCCGCATCATCGGCGATGGAGAAGTAACTAACAAACTCGAGTCTCTACAGTTACCAGTTACGCCGTTAGTGGTATCATTAAGTGCAATCTACCGACTTTACCACGGCGAGTGTTCTGGGAAGTTATTACCCATAACCCTCCATCACCTTTTCTTCAGAGGATCACGCGCGCTGGCCTACGTTGCTACCGCCTTACTGTGGCCACTATTCCTACAAGAGTAAAGAAATTTGGTCACTCATTTCTTTGTTTTACTATTCTTAAGTGGAATTATTTGCGTTCTATGTTCCCTCCTTCCCACAATCTGTCCTTTAAGAGAGGCGGGAAGAAGCATTTTTGCAGTCCGGCAAGTTGACAATGGTTGGTGTGGCAGTTTATAACTGCTGTACCAGCTGTATGCGCATTTGGATTTTATCACCACTTAAGATCGGATGGGTTACAGTCATTTGCTTACCTGGATATATAAAAAAAAATACACCACCCAACTTAGTTGGGTCTAACTACTCGACTACAATGGGAGTGTAAGGGGTTCTTATTACACCTGCAAGAACCCAAGCCAACCTCACTTCACGTGGTGCACCCTGATGACCAACAGACGAGTTTCTGGCAAACTGGTCGATGGCGGTATAACCAGTAAATGGCGGTATAATCCAACGACGTAGGGGAGGGAAATCTCACTGGTGACGGGCAGCAACGTCATCAGTGAATTAACACAGAAAACACAAGCCACGGCCCCCAGTTCCCGGCATATTCTAGGGTTAAGTGAAGTTCGAAGAGAGGGGGAGGCCAGCATAATCCTTGAATCGGGTCACCTAATGTACTTCCGTGAGGGAGACCAACAGTCCCAAGGTGGCTTGGGCTTTTGGTAAATAAGTCCCTTGCCGATAATGTCCAGCGTGTCGACCAGGGTAGTGTACCTTATTATAAAGCTCACCGAGAGGTATAGCCTCAAGGTGGTGCAAATGTACGCACTGACCTCGACACATTCGGACGACGAAGTGGAGGATATATTCGATGATATATCGAAGGCCCACTACTCCACCACTTAGACCCACTACAACGTTGTTATGGGCGACTTCAACGCTAAAGTGGGAGTACAGAGTTGTAACGAATCGGTAGTAGGATCCCATGGATTTGGCAGCAGAAATCATAGGGGGCAAATGCTCGTCAACTTCCTCGAACGGGAGAGGCTCTTCTTGATGAACTCCTTCTTCAAAAACCAGCCCCAAAGGAAGTGGACGAGGCGAAGCCCCGATCCCTATCCGGACGGATCACTATCCGTCGCCTCTCGCAGCCCAATCCCAAATACATCCCCGGACATATGTGTGTTTATATAGTGCGATTCAATGAAGAATAGGAAAGCCAATGAACTCTATCTGTCAAATGTCGCTTGAAGAGTTCGGTTTGAAAAAAAAACTTGGAACCCTTTTTTAGCACTGCACTGAGCTAATTCTAGAATAAAAATGCAAACATTTGTAAACAAACATTCATAATTAATATGGGCTGATATTTTTTTAGTTTTGGCTATGAATGGTTGATACCATAATTCGTCAGCTAAATGTCGCTTTATGTTGCGTTTATAAACTCGATTTAAAACTTTCGTTTTCATAAAGTATGCATGTTTGTATGTGACCTGATAGTGCATGATTATTCATAATTACTCCGGCGGTAATGCAGAGATGAATGGAATGGAAGAGTTAGATTCTGATTAATGTTGTCTCACACAGTTTTTTTTTTTTTTTTTTTTAGATAGGTCCGACAAATGACTCCACCCCACCTGATGTTAAGTGGAGATGAAGTCCAGACGCGAAGATAGCTGATACAGCAGTTCTACCTGCCACACCAGCCATCCTCACCCTGCCGGCCTGCATGTTGCTTCTTCACGCCTCTTTTAAAGGATCCCAGGTTGTAAGAGGGAGGGAACACGTGAGCGGGCAGAGCATTCCATTTACGGATAGTACGACAAAGAAATGAGTCACCAAATTTCTTTGTACGCGTTGGAATTGTAGCCACAGTTAGACGGTGTCAACGTAAGCCAGCGCGCGTGGTCCTCTGAAGGAAAGGGGAAGGTGGAATAAGAGAGAATAACTCCTCAGAACACTCGCCGTGGTACAGACGATAGAACGCGCTTAGTGACGCCACGTCACGGCGTAATTGAAGAGGCTCGAGGTGTTTAGACACCTCCTCATCACCTATGATGCGTATTGCGCGCCGCTGTAACCTATCCAAAGCATCGAGCAAGTACTTGGCGGAGCCATCCCAGAGGTGCGAACAATATTCCACGCAAAACCGAACCTGCGTCTTATATAACAAGCATAGTTGCTCGGGCGTGAAAAAACGCCGCACCTTGTTCAGGACTCCGAGTTTGCGTGAGGCTGTTTTTATCACACTTTCGATGTAATTTTTTGACTTAAAATTTGATGGAGCCGGCTGAACGCACGAAAAAACATGACTCGGAGGCGTTCCATTTAAGGCTTGAAGTGCAAGCGAGAGCGCGCAACGAGCGACAAAGAGGCACAATCGGCCTCCGCGTTCGGCAGCGTTCAACATCTGTCTCTTTCCTACTTGAGTGAGCGATGCTTCCGCGTGGACAGCTGCTATACAATAATACATTTACATGTTTGCATTTGTATGAAGTGCAGTGAAAAGTGAATGTGGTGTCAATTGTTTATAGCAACGATAATTACGGCGATAAAGGTAATGATTCTTTCGATATTAAATATATGTTCAGTGATATATTGTCGAATGTTCGTGCTTTCATGATTAAATTAAATAGCATCGATCCGCTAGTGTAGCGATTGTAGATTATGCTATAATTGACGAAACTATAATAATAATGTAACAGAACTATTTCACGATGAGAATAAAATCAATTGCTCTACTATTCGATCGAAATAATTATCGAGCGTAGCTATGATTTAAAAAAAAGCACATTCATACTTGTAAAAACTATGTACATTGTAAAAAAACGTTGTCACGTTCAACTATCCTCAGTAAACCGACTTTACACACAACCGATTTTTTTTTACAAAAAATTTTACAAAAAAATCTGATTTTTCTCTCATTTAATCTTAGTAAATAAGTTTTATTAAATTAAAAATATTTTTGCTCACTTTACCTATTTGGTTTGAATTGACAGCTATGACGACAGAATATGGCGCCCAGTTGGCCCTATTCTTAGTTTAATCGCATTATACTAATATTGTAAAAAAAAAACTGGTATTCGGGGATTCTGGGACAATGAGATCTAATTACTGGACATGGGACAAGACGCAAAATTCCGGGACCATCCCGGATTTTCCGGCCATCTGGCAAGCCTGTCATAACCATGTCAAAACACGTAAGTAGGTATATTTCTGCCTTAAGTTGGGTGGTGTCCCAGGATTCAGGCATGGTTTAGTTAGATGCTTTAGATGTCGACGCTATCTATTTAAATATTTTTTCTATTTCTGTCTGTGGTGAAAACCATGGACTTAATCTGTAATCTATGGTAATAATTAAAATGGCGCTTTCGTCTGTCACTGACATATCAATATTTTGTAATTGGTTTATCTTATTGGATTTTTTAGTTATATTTTTTATAAATTATTAATTCTTACGTTTTTAGTATGTCTGTGAATAATTTGTCTTCGGTGATGAAGTCATGTTCAGAGAGTGAGCTCATTAATGAAGTTCCTGATGCTGCAATGACACCAAAGCAAGCAGAAGGATCCCGATTAAAAAGAACGTTTACGCTACCTCGTAATCCATTTGGCACAGTGAAACCTACTTCCAGTAAAAATAAAACCCTAGATAATGATAGTAAACCAACGAGTGCCTGTTCTATTGTGTCTAGTGAATCTCAAAAAGAAGAAAATGGCTTGGAAAGGAAGTTATTTAGAAGGCCATCATGGAAAAGATTCTTGAACAAAATTGCGCAGCATATGAGTTCTGTTAATGCATCTGGTGTAAGTTCCAAACTTTTACTAAATGGTTCAAAAGTCGCAGGATTTGTCATGCAAATTAATATTGGTGACCTTGACATCAATGGTTTAATTTGCGGATTTCAAGGTCTTTTACGAGACAGTCTTGTTAAAAACTTTTTTTATCAGTGTTCATTGTGCATTTATTAATTTATTTGTCATAGAATAAATATTATAATAGAATCAACTTAATTTATAGGTTAAGTCTGCACCACCTATTATGAATGGTGACAGAATACCATGCAGTGGAGACCCGCCATGGCCACCTGGAGCAACTCCTGCAGCTTCAGGCATAAAAAACCATGGGAACACTTGTTATATGAATGCAGTACTTCAATGCCTTTCACATACTGATGTTATTGCTGAGTATTTTGTATTAGATCACTATAAGGTAATTATTCAATAATTATACAATGTGTCTGGGAATGGCTTAGCAATAATTTAGGGATATCAAATATACTTTATTTTATCGACAAAAATACCCATATTGGGGCCCCTCTTTTTTTTTTTTTTTTTTATTTATAAGAAACAAACAGTCACATATGTTTACAATTGATACATAAATATTATTGGTTTCTAGACCTATAGTTTCCTTAACTAATTCAAATAATAATTGAGCCCGTAACATTGGTCAGCAATATAAGTAGCAAAATTCACATTTAAACTAAAAGCAACTACACATAAGAAATGAAAGTACATACATATATACATACACACATATATATATATATATATATATATATATATACATACATATATATATACATACACATATACACACATACATACATATAATAAGCAGCAAGGCATTTATTAAGCAAATGTCCACAAAGTAACACTTACTTATCTTACAAGCTTCAGCCTTATATGAGTTCAGCAATACTCCTTCTAAACTTATGTTTGGATGTCTCAAAGATATCAGTATTTATAAAACGCTCATTGAAAAGTGCGCAAGCTCTTTTTATAAAACTATTGCTACCATAATGAGTTTTACTTGGCTTGATAAAGAATAATGCTTTTCTACGATTTGTTCTCTCTTGCCTTCTGGGTACACGGAAATATATTTTTTCTAATAAAGATGGAGCATCTATCTTATTATTTAGGATTTTATATAAACAATTTATATCTGTTAGATGACAGACGTTTTAAAGATGTTATATTGTGAAAGGCAAGGGAGGATTGATAATCGATGTGCGGGTTACCTGTTCTATAATCCAATGATTTTATAAATTTACGTTGTACCTTCTCAATTTTGTCCTGATGTACACGATAATAAGGATTCCACACAGGGCTTGCGAATTCCAATCGACTACGCACGTAACTGTTAAAAAGCATCTTATATGTAAGAGAACTCTTAAAAGGTTTTCCTATGCGCAATATGAATCCCAAGAATTTAAAAGACTGGTTTACTGCTTTTTCAATGTGCGGGACAAATGTAAGTCTAGAATCCATTATAACACCTAGATCTCTTATTTCTGTTACGCGATTTAAAGTTTTTCCACACAATGTATAACAGAAATTTATCGGATTTTTTTTCCTTGTAAAAGAGATAATATGGCATTTATCTGGATTTAAAAATAAATTATTATTAATGCAGTATCTTTCAAAGTTATTTAGATCGCTCTGCAGTAAAGTACAGTCTCTAGTATCTCGTATAACTCGGAATAATTTTGTATCATCTGCATAAAGAAGAACATTAGAATTATTAATAAATGTATGTAAATCATTGACATATAAAATAAAGAGCAATGGTCCTAGGTGTGATCCTTGAGGAACACCCGAAGGTACATCTTTGTACGCAGATTGATAACCCGACAATGCTACAGCCTGACAACGATTCACTATGTATGACTTTATCCAGCGAAACAAATCGCCGTGAATACCGAGCTGCCAAAGTTTAGTTAAGAGAGTATTGTGACAGATTTTATCGAAACACTTGGCGAAGTCGGTATAAACAGCATCAACCTGAACATTGCTGTCCATTTTATCTAATAAGATCTCTGTAAAGCTGAGGAGGTTACTATCAACACCACGCTTCCTACAAAATCCATGCTGAGATTGTGCAATGAACTGCTTGACCACGCCAAGTAATTGGTCCGTGACAATTTATTCTTGAAATTTGGCAAATTGACATAACTTTGAAATGGGGCGGAAATCCACTATATCGTGGCTAGCAGAACCCTTAGGAATTGGTGTTATTAGTGCGCGTTTCCATTCATGCGGCACAATACCGTTGCTGAATGACAACTTAAAAATGTGCAGCAGAGGGGCAGTTAATGAGTCAGCACACTTCTGAATAAACAAAGGGTGTATACCATCTGGACCCGTTCCTTTATTCGTGTTAATACCTCTTAAGTATTTACTTAATATTGTCTCTGAGATATCTATAGTAGCCACATCCAACAAAGCGTTACTCGGTGGATCCGTCGAAAGAATGGTAGGGTTTTCTGATGTGCTACTTACAAAAACTGAGTGGAAGTGTTCACTAAAGAACTCACAAATACGTTTCCCATCACTACTACTCTGTCCTTTATAGTGTAGTAACTCCGGTATCCTACTATTAGCCTTAACACCTTTTACGTATGTCCAAAAATACTTAGGGTAAGATTTAATTTTGAGTTCTGCATAACTTATGTAATTTTTGAAACATTCTCTCTCCATGTGTTTTGATCTTTTTTTTTTTCGTAAAAGTTTTTTGAATTTATTTTATTATTTTTGATAACCTTGATTTCTCTGGACATAAAGATCCTACATATATGAAATAAATGTTGTTTGAGAAGGATAATACTATCACCTTTAATTAAAATACAACAATATGACAACATTTTACTTTAAAATGTCAGAAAAAAAATCTTTATCAATTTTAAGTCAAAAATTTACTGTTTTTTAGTTAATCCACAATACTACAAAAACTAGCATATTGCAGTATGTTTTTTTTAATATACTCACACACAAGGAAATTATCTACAAAACAACACTAACATTGTTTCTCTAAGTTACATAATTTGAGAGTTATTGCTGTTTGAACATGACCCTTATGAAAATGGATAAAATCAAATTAAAACTCAGTACTGTACCACGGTAATAATATCATACAGTATTCTATCTTCATACAAACGGTCGGAAAGCAAGTCATACCTACGCCACTCGAGTTCGAGGGGCTCTCGGCGGGCACCCAGTCACGAATGTGCCGCCGGCACCCAGTCACGGTGTGAATTGTTTTTTATGCAGTTAGCCGTGCTTAAACATGCGTTTTGTATTTGATTTAATTAAGTAGATACCTACATAATTTAGTATGAAAAAGAACAAACAACGATCAATATCGTACAACAGCACAATTGCTGTTTTTGGTTGCTTGAACTCTTCAATAACACACCCAGAGATTTCATTTTTTAAATTACCTGTAATATTGGAAAGGTGTCTTACCTTTATAGAATATTTTTTATATACCAATCTACTAGTACGTAATTTGTTTCTAATATTTAGGTATTGCGATTTTTCCATTGGGAAAAATATCTGGAATAATATATAAATAAGTGGTTAAGATGAAAAAAGTCACACATTTTTTGCAATAAATCGCAATTTTTGAGCGCCTCGTTTGCCCCCTTAGAAGAGGTTTTGACTACTTCCAATAGAAGTAAACAGTAGATTTAATCTTCCTATTGAAAATTAATGTAGAATATTTGCAAATAGTATTTTCATTTTTTGTACTGATCGTTCTACCGCAGCTAGTTTACGGAAAAAACGATAATATGCACAACTTAAAACGCCTAAATCTCACAATAATGTTCAATAAATTAGATCAAATTAATTACTACTACATCAGAAATATGTTTTTGTTGCAACGTAATGTATTAGAATCTTGATTTTCCATCTCATTAATTATTAAAAAAACATCTAACCTCCGTGAGTTTCCCCAAAAAATAATGCAGCTTTACCTCGTATTTTGATATTGAATTAAATAGAATTACTATAAAAAACTTTCATAAAACTAATCTACAATCATTGAACTATTGAAATATGTATATATTTATATAATAAGTTCATTAATTATTATTTTAAAAGACTCTGAACATCACCCGTAAAATGCAATATATACTAGTGCAAATCTAGGCGCCGTTCAGTACGGCGCCAGTGCCTTTGGAGGTTGGACCTATGTCGCTTTGTACCGCACGTGTCCCGAGCGATACTACGAGTGCATTCATCGTAAAACTGGTTGGATATACTACGACCGCAAAACTTTAATCGTTGACTGTATGTAAATTTCCACAACCGTATTAATTTTTATTATTATAAGTACCTCCCTAGTTATTAATTATCATTGCTTCAACTAATATTTTTGTTATTAGCTTTTACAATGGGGCATAAAATTCCTGCTTACCATTGTGTCAAAAAAGAAAACGAAAGAATGATGCAGCCATGAAGAAAGCTAGTGAAGCAAGTTGAATATGCTTATAACATTTTGCTTTATTTTTAAAGCCTTTAAAATGCCATTAATTGATAAAAAATTATTCATCATTAAAGGACACCTGGCATTTTGTGCCAAAGTTGTATACTTTTTAATTTTTTTATCTGTGTTTCATAATTGGGTAACGTAGTTTGGCAATATTTACCATCAGCAGCTAGCTGTCAATGTCAAATACGTAGGTTTGTCAATATAACCTCTATATGTAGCCGGGTCGTCAAGAGAAATAACGGATAAAAAGGCAATCATAGCAGAGAACATTCACAAGTACAGTACGCGGGAGCGGATGCGAAATGTGAATGATTTTTTTGTTTGTATTTTAGGATTGTCAAATTGACATTTGGTTTTTTATTTAGAAAAAGCAAAGGAATCATGGTTTTTACAGTCACTTGAGTAATATTTTGAAGTAAAATTCTGTCCCTTGAAGATTTAGGGTTTCCATATCAAAAAATAGTAATCATTATATAACTTCTTTCCACGATTCACTAAAAATAAGGCAAAAGTAGTTTTATGCAGCAAATAATTTTGGCTTTATTTTGAGACCAAATTCAATTGTATACAAGTTTAGCATTTTTTCTATAAAAAGTACCGGGTCTCCTTTCCTACAACCTTTGCATAAACCTTTTTTTTTACTAAATAAATACTTTTAAAGTTATGAGTCGTTAACGTAGCAATTACGCAGTATATCAGAGTTTTGTGCACATTAACGACTATTAACTTAAAAAGTATTTATTTAATAAAATAAAATATACTAAACTTGTAGGGAATTTAATCACGGATAATTTGTATACGACGTTTTTTATCAATTAGGTAATGACATTTTTAAGGTTTTATAAAGGAAAAACTACAAACATGTTCAAATAAACAACAACAATTGAAAAACTGTAAGAGTTACAATAAAAAGTTTGAGAGAAAGAAGTTAGAGAATTTAGTAATAAACAAAAAAACACTACATTTTTTTCATTACAGTCAAAAATTTAGGAGATGTAGCTATAAACGCGTTTTCCAATAAACGCGTTTTCCAATAAAGCGGTCAGTTGTGACCACCCTACATTCCCCGATTTAAACTTAAGCTTCTTACAATCTACCCTTATGTCTGTAAAAAAAAGCTAGAGTACGGTAAAAAGTTGCATTTCGATCAAGTATAACAATTCTTCGCATTGTAGATAACCCACAATGTCAAATGAATACTTTTTCAAGTATTAAACATTTGAAAGAAGAAATAGCAATTATAGTTATGATTTTATTTTATTTTTAAGCATTTAACTGCTAGATGTTTAAATCTAAAGAGAAGTTTACTAGAAAAAAAAATCCACGCGGACCAGGCAGTGGACAGGACTCGAACCCGCATCCTTCGCAATCCGGGCGAATGCACTGACCATTATGCTACCACGGCCCCATTAGTTCATTACTGAGTGAATAAAAAAAAATTTGGACAAACAGAAGTTATACAAAGCATACATATAAAGTTACAATAATTAGTAATAATCATAATTAATCTTTATTGTCATTTCCAAAACACAACCAATGGGTACTATAAATATATTATTTATTTTCTCACAATAGTAAAAAAACTTAATCCTTGTATCCTTTGCTCCACTCATGATTCTTATCTAGAATCGTTCTTTGCTACTGTAGGGATCCATCTTTAGCACTTCAAATTAACTTTATTTTATAATGGCATTTATTGTATCAATAATTGCATATTAAAGTATCAATTTGGTAAAGCGCGCTATACTGAACATCGCCGCGTCGATGTCTCGCTCGTGCGACTCGGACACGCTCGCGGTCGTATTTACCTAAACAAGAGAGGCGCAATTTTGTAAAAGGGCTCTTAAAAACAAAACTACATAAAATACTGGGGCGGCCCTACGCAGAGCTCAGCCGTAGGCATTTATTTCAAGGACAGGGCGGAGACACAATACTGTATAGATAATATTACCGTGATAACTTTCAATGTTGAAATCAACAAAATTAGTAACAGAAATTGCTCAAAATGACATCCTGTGCTTTGTAGACAGGCAGCGGCCTTAATGGCGACTTGTCTTGTGGCCCTGGAAATCATTGCAGTGTCTGCTCTTATTTCATTTGCAACTGTCATTATTTTTTGCACCAGTTCCTCTGTGCTGTTTGGGACTGTGGCATATTCTCTTTGCTTCATCCGTCACCATAAAAATCGTCCTGCGGTGTTATGTCCAGGAAGCATGGTGGCCAAGCTACTGTTCCACCATGTCCAATCCACAATGAATAATTTTATTAAAGTAATCGCTCACTGCACAATAAATAATTTTATTTAAGTGATCGCTCACTGCACAAGCATAGTGAGCTGGTGCACCATCAAACTGAAGCCAATTTTTTTTATATCTTAAGAACCTTTATGTCCAGAGAAATCGATATTATTTGGAAGGGTCAACTAAAATAAAAGAATAAAATTAAAATGGCGGCCATTTAAAAAATCGTGGGGCTGACCCCCATTAGGGATGGTGGTGCTTTTGTTGATAAAATTAGGTATATTTGATGCCTTTAAATTATCGCTCAGTCATGCCCAGACACACTGTATAGGTATACTAAAATTCCGCAAAACATCATTAAAGTTTTAAGAATTATTTATAATAAATAAACAGTTTTTTTAAATTTATTTTTTAAAGTAATGGTAATTGCAGACTACAATAGAATTGCGCGTTAAGTCAAAACCATAAGGTCTATATTCTTCAGCATATAGCAGTAAGTCGTAAAATTTTAAGAGCTTGCATTTCGAACTGTCAAATTCTTTGACGGATGCATTTAAATTGAGACTATATAGGTAGTATGCATTAAACGTGACTTTCAGTGTTCAAATAATGCCTTATATTGTTTTTGACTACGCAGTCGTCTTACAGAGGTCTGTGGATCGTCCAATGTACCTTGTGTACACATATCGGCCACAATTCTGTTTGTGTTGTTGTATCTAGGGTATTTAATATCATTGATTTTAATATACTGATAATGTAATAATACTAATTGAAAAAAAATGTTCTCATTTAACAAAAGAGAAACCCAGTTACCAGAGGGTAGGTACTTATGCATATTAATATAGTTAAACTATCACTTTTGTTTTGAATTAGGTTGACCTACAAAAGCGGAACAAGATTAATTCAAAAAAGTATGGGACTCGTGGGGAAGTTACAGAACAGCTAGCTGCTCTGCTCAAAGCTCTTTGGGCATGTCATTATACACCTGACATGAGTACAATGTTCAAGGTAAGTGAGGAAATATTTACTATTTCATCAAATTTTATATTTTGAAATTATTTTTTTTAAGCTTTTGAAAGCAAACACACAAGGTCTTAGAATAGCAGCATTCCTTAAATTATTGCTAAGCCATTCCTATAACCTTGTATGTTTGTTTTATCACTAAGATATCTTTGACTATGATATATAGTGAAGAGATCAATTTGAAATTAATTAGCTATAAGTGTAATTATTATATTAGTTTGGGCTCATGAGGTTGTTCTTATTCAGAAAGTGTTAGTAGGAGTTCAGGAACTTCCATGTCCAATTGATAAAAAGTTGCAGTAATTATGAAGTTAGGCTTCAAAATTTATCTTTGTATAAAGTTTTTACTTTGTAGGACTACTATTGACTACTACTGGATGAGCAGTGTAATTTAAAGATATTATATATTAATTTTTATAATTATACTAGAATTACTAGTAGCCACACTACCAACAAGGCTTTACATGTAATTAAAAAAAAACCTCATTCTCATTACATCATCATCTGTCCCCAAGCCATCTAAATAATATTGGCCCTGAATGAACCTAACAAACATAACTTGCAGGGAGCGGTTGAACGACATGGAACACAGTATAGAGGCAATAGTCAGCATGATGCGCAAGAGTTTTTATTTTGGTTACTTGACAAAGTCCATGAAGATTTGAATACTGCCACCAAGAAGAAATACAAGACCATAAAAGTATTTCTGTTACTTGAAGTATTATAAGCATTACTTTTCTTTCGTATTATATTATTCATATAATTATAACTGATAAATTTTCAGAACACAGTTGGTAAGTCAGATGAAGTAGTGGCTGCAGAAACATTGGCAAATCATGCTCGCAGAAACAGTTCATTTGTGCAAGCTGTTTTTCAAGCTCAGTACAGGTAAATACAATATTAACATTAGTGGCAGATGTCAGCGCAGATGAGTGATTTTTGTCTGTGGAGGACAAAAATCCCTTAATTGTGAAAATTAAAGTCTGCTTAGGATATGTTACGGACTCGACGCCAATTGATTTCGGACATTTGTCGCCCGAATATTTATAAAAGCGCACGCAAATGTCCAGTCCACAAAAGATCGTCTCGGTTAGTAATAATTCATTATGCCATCGCTAAATGCATCCTTATTTGTTGGCCGGGGTAATCGGGCAATCCTGTTGAGCTGTTACCGCCAGGCAGAATCATCGATTCTGAACTCTACAACGAATAACTAATGAGATAAAAACAAGAAGTTAAGAGAAAGCGGCCGTAATTTATCAACAGAAGGGGTGAGGTTTTTCATCATGATAGCGCTACAATTCACCTCACACATCTTTCTTTAGCCACTCAGCAAAAATTAAGAGAGTTTGACTGGCAGGTGTGAATGCGTCCGCCGTATAGTCCTGACCTTGCACCTTCAGATTTTTACTTGTTTCGGTCTCTTCAGAATTCTTTAGGCAGTGTCAGGTTAATATTACGGGAGGACTGCCAAAACCACTTGTCAAGGTTTTTTGATCAAAAGACCAAAATTTCTATAGCAATGGGATCATGTCTCTAACTACAAGATGGAAAAAGTTATCGAACAAAATGCCACCTACATAATTTATTTGAAAGAAACTTTATTGAAATTTTTCAATTTTCATATAAAATGCGAAGAAACTTTTTCCCGAACCTAATATTTTTTTCGGAAACCAGCGTACTTTTGTCTTGTCTGGTCTCTGTTATACAGGGCACTTTTTGTATGCGGTACTTTTAATCCCTTGAGTGCGTTACTCGATGCAGTTGTAAGCGATCTATTTTGGCGGACAAAAATGTCCATGGACAAAAGTTCCTAGTCTGCGCAGGCATTACGAGAAGTGAGGATTATAGTGGATTCGCTCGAATTGAAACACCCATCTGGGGAAGTAACCTTCACCTTATTAATGATAGTAGGGAATTAACTACCCTTTTGGTGACCTTGTGTTTTTGTTGGTGAATAAGGTAGGTAACCTTTGGTGACCTCGAACCTTATTCACCAATTAAAACGACTGCAAGTCTACATAAAAAATAATTACATATTTAAGTAAATATTCAAGGTCAAGGATTTTTTTTTGTATTATATAGTTCATTATTTAAGATACTTACAAAATAAATAATCCAAAAATGTAGGTATATATTTTAAGTAAAGGTACATATTTCAGATCGGCATTGACATGTGCAAAATGTGAGCGTACATCTTGTACTTTTGATCCATTCCACTGTGTTAGCGTTCAGCTACCCTCAAGATTAGCTACTGCACAACCGTCGCCTCTTCCTGTCAATGTAAGTCTAAATAATAGATAAACCACTCCATGTCATTCCTAGCGCTAAGGTGCCCATTATATTCGAAGCATTACTTCGCTGGCTGGAGATAGATAGCCTTTGCACCAGAAATGACTCAGAGTGGGGGAACAGACAAGTATATTTATTTACTGCTTATTCATTATACGTTCATACTTAAAGAAGCGTTCATACTTACATACTTTATTCACATGAAACTTAGTTAATACATAGTTTTTTTAAGCTCTTTGCATGTGCATTTAATTTTGTGTTTCTGTGATGCTCACTGAAATATCCACGACGGGCCATCCGGTAGGCGTTTTTGTTATTGGGCCTATTTGCCAAAGTCAATTCATGTACTTGCTAATAAATTTGACGGCAGTGTATATATATATACTTTACTTTATTATGATCTATTCTAAAGGGAATGAAAAGGAGAGACTGCTATCAAAATTACAAATACCAATTAATTACAAATAATGGCTATTTGTAATTTCTTACTATTTGTAAATGTGCAGTGTAAGCATAATTTTTTATCAACTATATTGACCACACATAATGTGTGCAATGATTGCATTAATAACGTGAAGTGCGATCATCTATACTAATATTATAAAGCTGCAGAGTTTGTTTGAACGCGCTAATCTCTGGAACTACTGGTCCGATTTGAATGATTCTTTCAGTGTTGGGTAGTCCATTTATCGAGGAAGGCTATAGGCTATATTTTTTTTTTCAAAATTAGGGATCCGTAATAGAATTGCTATTTTGTAACAAGGTGTAAAATCGAAAACCTATTTTTGCGTGCGCTGCAAAAACTATTGACAATAGAACAAAATGATGTACTACGGGTTTGTAGATCCCATTGAGACCTCCAAAAAGTCCGCGAGAACATATATCTAGCTATCATGGTTTAATCACAATAACCGATTTTGTGTTCAAAATAATTATTAAATCGTCTGAAGAAAAAAAAACTACGTTAAATATGTATCGTAATATTAATCTTCCATTATGTTATCAAGAGTATTTATGTAGAAGTAAAATACTTTTTGTTTCATCTCAATCGGATATTTCGTTTAAAAGTTGTCACGTGTGTAAGATGTTAAGAGTTGGTACCTATTAATGAGTTATGGGCCATACAGTTTTTTATCAACATAAAATCCTGTAAGAATCTATTTCGAAATATATTTGTTGATGATTGGAAACGCGGGTGAATCCGCGGGGCACGGCTAGTAAGAATATAATAAGACAAGGTAATATTAAATACTACCTTCGAAAGTAGCTCGACAAAATTAACCTTACTTTCGAAGGTAGCTCGACAAAATTAAATAAAAAATTGATTCCGACGACGCGGCCTGTAAAGGCTGCGAAACGTCAATAAATAAATAAACTTTCGTGCATTAATCCGTAAAAAACTAGTTTTATTTAATGAGTGATGTGCGTGAAAACCTGAGAAACAAATAAGGGAATATTAAGTTCTTGTTTTAAATGTCAAACAAGTTTGTTATATATATTTTAAGCATTAAATTCAAAGATAATTTTACTACTGGTAGAATTTTCTTTAGATGTCAGACAAGTCTTAAACTTAACATATTTTCTGCTGTAATCAATACTAATATTATGAATAATTGTAAAGGTGGTGTATGTTAACCAACAACCTCGCCAAGTTCGTATTGGTGTAGACCTATCACCAAATGCTACAATGGAGGATTTGCGAACCACACTACATGCAGACACGGGCATTGATCGGGACCATATTATTCTGGCAGAAATTAACGAGACAGGTAAAATATTGTTGAAGCGCCACTGTTTATAACTCCCGATTTAGATTATGTCATCAACAGGGTGCTAGCAGAAAACTTACTCTAGTTGTATGCCGCCTTTCAATATTAACGATAGACTCGGTACTTTAAGTACTTAAGATGATATTAAGTATTTATACCTACATCAATAAACCGTTTGTATCTCTGTCTTCCCTACCATTTTATTACCAAAGACATCGAGAATGGACAAAGAATGCCCAGTGAAACTGGGCAGATAGTGTTCAAGAGACGAAGCAATCTTGCGGCCAATAGATCGCACCACCTCTTTCTCGACTAGAGGGTTGTCAATTTCATACGACTGTCGCTCAGTATATTATAGGTATTTATGCAACTGTTGTATAATGAGGGGTATCAAAACGCGAATGTGGGTTTATCACACGAGGCGACGGCGACGTCAAGTGTGGTAGTAGTAACACATGAGTGTTTTAATACTTAATGATAACACTTGCATATGACATATCCTCTACAAAAGATTCTGAAACCATGGGACATTCTAAGAACGCAAAATTCTTGAAAAGTTTCGGCATTGTGGTAGTGAAGAGAATGAATGAAAATGGTCTGTTTTTGAAATTCATAACACTACGCATCCAGCAGTGAAAATTGTGGCTATCTGATGAGCAAGCTCTAGGTGCGGAAGGGATTTAAAAAGCGACGGTGTGTTATTATGAATTTATCAAAAAAAAACATAACACCCGGGTTTTGATTGTTTTTTAAATTATGATATGGATGTTTTTTTGTTGGCAATTAGCTGTTTCAGAATCTTTGACAGAGGTTTTAAAGCATGTGTGTAGATAAAATTATTTATAAATCATTCAAATTTCTTTATTAACTGGGCCTGACTAAACGTAAAACTAAATTTCACAACACAAACCTAAACACGAACTTTGATTGATTGGTAATCGTATCGTCATCGTCAAATTTCTTATGGAAGGAGCCAGCTTGTTCTTACGCCCGGAGGGGGCGCTGCTTACTTTTACTGCAAAGTTCTTGCTTTGAAAATGAGTGACTTTCCTTTCTGTATAGAGGATAAAAGGATACACTATGACCAAAAATTTACTAACTCGAGCTCCTCCGTGCTTCGAAAGGCACATTAAGCCGTTGGTCCCGGCTGTATCTGCGGTCGTTAACACCCATCAATCCGCACAGGGCCCGCGTGATAGGACATGGTCCAATCTTCTTATTCCATCCATAGGGAAGGCCTGTACCCAGCAGTGGGGACATTAATAGGCTGATGATGATAGGATACCTTAACACAAACTGATTTGTATAAGTACAATTGTTTTCTTAGTTTCACAGAATTTCACAATAAACTTTATCACAGTATGGCTTGATAGGACGTCGTTGGCTCTTGCTAAAAATTTGTTATTGGACCAAAGGTCATGGAAAAACATCATGTTGCGTTTCTTTCTACCTTGTAGAATTGTCGTGAGGGCATGATATTTCTTTTCCCCACTATGCCAGTCTTTAAATACTATGTCTATGGTAAAGTCCGCTTGTAGGGTGGTGTAACTCTCGCGCCGGTTGGGAGGTAGCGGGCCTAGAGGCGGTCGCGATAAACTGCGTGGAATACAAGTGAATCTTATAAGCACAATTGTTTTCTTAGTTTCACAGAATTTCACAACAAACTTTATCACAGTATGGCTTGATAGGACACCGTTGGCTCTTGCTGAAAATATGTTATTGGATCAAAGGTCATGAAAAAACATCATGTTGCGTTTCTTTCTACCTTGTAGGATTGTCGTGAGGGCAAAATATTTCTTTTCCCCACTATGCCAGTCTTTAAATACTATGTCTATGGTAAAGTCCGTTTGTAGGGTGGTGTAACGCTCGCGCCGGTTGGGAGGTAGCGGGCCTAGAAGCGGGCGCGTTGTACTGCGTGGAAGCGCCGCCGTTACTGACGACTCCCACCGCGCCATACCTCCTAGTACTTTGGGTCAATTTGCTTGACGGACAGCGCTTTGGTAAGTCACCCTTTTAGTAGGCTAGTTGACATTTTTTGGAAATATTTTTTAAATGGTTAATAATTGTTCTATTACACCGAAAAAAAAAATGTATTGTATTTTTTTTGACCTAGAAAGCTACAAAACTAATTTTAAAATAGATTTTTAAAATTAGTCCAGAAAAGTTGTGGTTTAAATTGCGTAGACAAATACACATACCTACACATGAACACACGTTTAAAACTTGCTAAATCCTGTAACTTTATCGACCGAAAGTCATTTCTTTTAGCAAAGATCACTTCGATGTAAGTACTCATTGAATAATATTTAAAGATTAAAAATACAATTTTTAAGGTTATGAATGTACCTACTAAGTCAAAGAGTTCTGTCGTTCTGCTTTCAAAAATCCGGCGTCCAGCATTAATTTAGTCAACAAAACTAATAAACGAAAACTTTTCTCTACAAGATAAGAGTTATTAGATGTATTTTAGTTCGATGAAAGAAACCACAAGTAACACGACAATGATTTTTATTTGTTTACAAAGGAGATTGCTCAAATTGGCCCAAACGCACAAAAAATATTGACATACACGGTAATTCTTGGCGTAATTTATAATTTAATTTACAGTCATTAGATTTCAACGGACACCTTTGTATAATATATTTACTTTAAAAAAAACTTTTAATTTTACCGGTTTGGAAAACATAGGAATCATTTTTAATGGTTATGGGAGTAGTAACATTCAGCCAAAGACTGATCGAAGTTGTTTATATAACATAAAAACAAATCTTTTTTGTAAAGATCGTAAAAATAAATCATTTTTTTATTACACTATGGTATTAATATCCACAACTATATTATCATTTTCACTTCACGCAAATGTGCTCAGACAATTATTATAGATGGTAGGCGACATCATAAAGTCTATTGCCATACAATTTTAGCCAAACACCCCCAAACCACTGGACGGATCGGGCTGAAAGGACAATGGGCAAAACGCACCCAGCTCCGCCAACAATGTAATTAGTATGAATCGATAGATCTATGAAAAACTAGCCTTTTTTATTATGACACCGTAAAAAATATCCTGGTAGTCAATAGATATGACACATGGGCATATTTAAGTAGCTGAATAAATTCATTTTATAGTACCTTCATTTTATATTATTAGTAATCGTAATAATATGCCATATCGTACTATACAACCAGATATACGACAAAGCCTGCCGACCATTCTGCTCTTGCTCTTACCGAGACATTTCAAAACGGTTTACGGATGATGAAGGACTTGCAGTTGCAAATAGTCGACTCGTCTTACTTCGTTCTGATTGTGCGCTCCCTGCTACTTAATTGATTTTTATCTAACACGTTTTGGATATTGGAACACGATTATCGGTCTTGTCAATTAGTATGGATGAACTGGAATTATGTGTTCTCCGAAGCGTGGACAAGTTTGTGTAATCTGTGGTCGCTCCGTTTTACATAGCAGACAATTTACTATAACGAACAGAATGTTTAAAAAAAACCCAACCCAAGCGGGGATGTTTGGATTTAATCTAGCGCGACAGAATAACATAAGGGGGTACCTTTGCACCTTGTGAAGTACTCCCATAATTCCTGAGCATCCTATGTAGAGTCGAACTAACTAACTAAATTAATTCCCTTGTTTCATTAATGTGTGTTCGTTATAGTACTTGTACACATTTAACTTAAAATAACTAAAGACCCCCGGGATGGAATTTGATGCGCTTTGGCACAGATGATCTTGAATATAATACCTTTCAAACAAATATAGTTTAAGCCGTGGCGGACGTGGGTGCTGCGTCCATACAGTTTTGCCGAATGTCCTTTGGCATGCAGGTAGATGTTATGACGTAGGCATCCGCTAAGAAAGTATCTATCTAAGCAACTATCTGTTAATCTTCATGCTCTATATACCTGAATCTAATCCATAATTTCGGTACTTGGCTTGATTTCTCTAGTTTACTATATAACTTATTTGTTTTTACCCGGCTGCGCAATGCAAGAGCGCGAAGCGCGACGCGCAGACAGGGTTATGTGTTTAACAGTCTATATTTGTATGTTTGTTCCTTTGTGGCACACTAGAGACCAAACGCCTGGACCGATTTATATGATTCACATATCAATCGATTCGTCTCAATCATGGGAGTGCTACTAAAGATATGATAGTAATTAAAATTCAATATGGGCAAAATTAGGCGCCATATTGTGACGAAGTAAAAAAAAAAGTTGACAAAATATATCGAGTGGGGTATCACTGTCTAGATAATCAAAAATCATATTTAGGTTCCTAACACCATTTTTCATTTTATATGATTGTTTAGGATCTACAACGCTTTAAAGTTGTATATTAACCACTTACGCTTTTAATTTCAATCTTACGTTTGTATGGATCTTTGTTACTCTTTCACCTAAAAAATACTGAATGGATTTTAATGAAACTTAACAGTAATATAGCTCATATATGATAATTACATATATATATATATAATAATTTATGTAGTTATTGAGTGAATTGGCCAATATATAATAATATGTGTCACATAAGACGGAAAAAAATGTCCCATCTGCGAGCCATTTTGGCCTGCACTGCAAAAACAATAAAAGTTACATCAATGTAATGTAGAGTGAAAATGTATCTCTTAAATAGTTCTAAAAAAAGTCCCTGACACCATATATCTATTTTGAATGTGTAAGTCATTACCGCTAAAATAGTGAATCAAAACTAAAATATTATTTGATATCTATTTCCAAAATGCACATTTTGTATTAACAAATCATTTTTTATCAAAACAAATAACTAACTACTAACTTTAATCGCTTTTGATATTTAAAGACGATAAACTTTGCTTTTTACACTATGTCATTTCGACAAATATTTAAAAAGTTACAACGATGACAAAGTGATAGCGCGGTGTACTACGTAAAAGAAAAAAAAAGGGCCAATTCGCTTTTTTATTCGGGTATCTGATCCTATACGAAATCCTAACAATAAAACTGTGATACAGTTCCTTCTTATTAAATTATGAAAAATATATTATCATAATAGGTATTTATGATTATTGAATTTTAATGAAAAACTCAGAATTTTACTGTTATTCATTTTTTAACGATATTACATAATGTTACAAAAAAGGTTTACTTAATATAATGACAAATAACCCATTTTTCGCTAGTAAGTACATACTTATTAGAATCCCTGTATTTATTAATCAGCTCGCGATAATATTGGTTTTGTAATAATTCTGCAAAATTCGAAGTAAATAATGTAGATTTTTATAGGTAAATCACCCCTTTCATCACCCTACGCCTATAAGTATTGCGATGTTGTAGCTAAGAACCAAGTTCCCATCTACTTCTATATGGGAATTCATTATATTCGATTTAGCTATTAGGGCACAGAAGCGCAACAAACAAACTCACTTTCGCATCTATAATATTATATTACACTTACTAGTGATCCACCCGGGCATTGTACGGGCGAAATTTATTTATCGGGATAAAATATAGCCTGTGTCACTCGGAGAAAATGTATTTAAATAAAGAAAAATGTTATAATAAATAATGTAGCTATCTTATGATGAATTAATATTTGAAACCGGTTCAGTAGTTTGATAGATTATTTGTTACAAACATACAAATCTTGCCTCTTTATAATATTAGTATAGATAGTAAGGATAAGATAAGTATTTAATTGATGAAAAAGATTTAAAAATAAAGTAAGTAATAGGTTTATTTGATTATATTAGAAAAGTTACTTAGCATTTGTGCTTAACAGTGATACGCTATTCGGTATTTTTATAACAAAAAAAAAGTGGACTCTTCATTCGAGCTTTACACTACCAATAAAAAAGGGTCGAACACAAAGTCTTTGACCTGTTAAATGTGAACGCTTTAAAAGAAAACTACAAAGAGAACTATAAATTGATAATCAGCGGCGGCGCTAGGCGTCGGCGATGTCGGCCACCGCCGACGGCCTCACGCCTGAGGGGGCCTCGCAAAAAAATTTTTACAAGTTACCTATTTATTTTCGTTTCTCCTGGCCTGGCTTAGGTAGCCGACCCCGAACAATTCGGGGAAAAAGCTAAGCAGATGATAATGACTTTTATTATTTTCGAACACGTGCGTGATGGAAGCGAGTAGTACTTTACGGGTATTCAAAATCGTCTGTCTGGCAACACTATTTTTGTTATTAAATTTCTATGTTTGTAATTATTTTTTGTCTTCATTTGATTATCAACAATAAAACTCGTTTACTTATACGTTATTTTATAATTTGGCTCACTTAATTTAACGGTTTTTTACTGCGAAGTAAAATAGGCCTCGCGAACTTGATGTCGCCGACGTCCACATGTGGTCTAGCGCCGCCACTGTTGATAATAAATGAGATTGCTATGGTGCTCTACCTAACGTGATGAAAAATTTATTATGCGCCTTTAGTTTAATCAAATATTATAAACTTTGCTTTGGTGATTGCATAATTATTTAATTTAGTGATAAGGCAGTTGCCCAAAACAACAGACGGGAATTACTTCTTTCTTCAACCTGCGACATAAACGTCATTGATTGGTATTGTATATAGGGTGATTAAAAACATTTGAAGTTAACTTCTGGCAGCTATATATTGGGTTTCTGTGAATTATGTAGGTATATCAAATTATGAGACTTGGGACTGACACTGAATTTGTGTATATCACAATCTTAGACGTCCGGCATTGACATGACAATGCAGCCACTGCCAATTTTAAATAGTCGACGAATAAAAGTAAATGAATTTTATATTTACTGCTAAACTATTAAAAAAAACATAAACAAAAGATGACTTTTTGAGTAAGTGATTAGAGATATTTATGTAACGACTTGATTTAACTTCACACATTTTTGCGAAAATTGAGGCCCATCTGTAGCCTTGACCCCGCTGGTAGTCTTTATATGTCTATGTCCCGCGATATTAATTCCCTTACTGAAGTAACAAGACTACGGTATATACCGTCTTAAAATACTAACTAAAAAGTGTGAAATAAAAAAGGTAAATTTAAAAAATAAAAAAACCCGACTGCTTAATTATTCTTCAAATAAAAACTGAAAAGAAAAAAACAAGTCCAGTAGTCTATAATTCTGTTAATAAGGAACAAAGCTACTTTAACAGTCGGGACCCACTGTTGAAAAATATTATGTATTCTTGAATATCTAATGGGTCCCGACTGTAAAAGTAGCTTTGTTCCTTATTAACAGAATTATAGACTACTGGACTTATTTTTTTCTTTTCAGTTTTTATTTGAAGAATAATTAAGCAGTCGGGATTTTTTATTTTTTAAATTTACCTTTTTTATTATTTTAATATGTTCAGTATATATGGTTTATAGAAGTTCTCAGGGGTGTTCGTCAATAATATTCGTTTCTACAGTAATTTATATATAATTTCGAATCTAGGAAACAATTTTTCATGATTATTGGTCTTTAGGCCAAACATGTATGGAAGCTGAGCAATCTCCTTTGCGACGTCACAATCATGGTGACACAGTTTTTAGTGTTTGAAAAGCATAGACTAAAAACTATTTTTCAAATTAAATTACTACAGCCATCTTCAAATTTTTTGAATTGAAATCGATGTATTTAGGTTCCTCATACCAAAAATTATAAGAAAAAAAAACATTTGTATAGTACAATTTGACATGAGACAACTAGCCTATTACGTGGTAAAAAGAGATGTTTTTATTTATTTGTGTGTACCATTTTTACTTGCAACTTTGCCAGTCTGTCGACTTACGACTAGTTTCCATCTTAACGATAGTCACTTGTCTAATAATTTTCAAGTTTCATTGAGTATCATGCTGTTAGTCTCATCGACCACACGTCACTTTAATAAGCATCAAAGGAGATTGCTCAAATTGGCCCAAATGCACAAGAAATATTGACATATACGGTAATTCTTGGCATAATTTATACTTTATTTTACAGTCATTAGATTTCAACGGACACCTTTGTATAATATATTCATTTTGAAAAGGACTTTTAATTTTACCGGTTTGGAAAACATACGAATCATTTTTAATGGCTATGGGTGTAGTACCATTCAGCCAAAGACTGATCGAAGTTGTTTATATAACATAAAATCAAATCTATTTTGTAAAGATCGATAAAATAAAACATTTTTTTTTATTACTCTGTGGTATTAATATCCACAACTATATTATCATTTTCACTACATGCAAATGTGCTAAGACAATTATTATAGATGGTAGGCGACATCATAAAGTCTATTGCCATACATTTTTCGCGAAACCCCTCCATAAGCAAGCTTATATGCTTCTTGAAATCATCCAATCATCACATAGTTTCTGTCACAGAGTACCTTATTATAACCGGAAATGCATAGACGATACCTGATTTTAAAAGTTACTCTTGTGCATTAACTTTAAAAAAGGACAATTATCTGTTAATCTACATGCTCTATATACCTGAATCTAAAACATAATTTCGGTACTTGGCTTTATTTCCTTAGTTTACTATATAACTTATTTGTTTTTTATTATTTTAATACCTATGTACCTATTTGCAAACATAACTTCAAAATCGTTCAGTGTATATGGTTTATAGAAGTTCTCAGGGGTGTCCGTCAATAATATTTGTTTCTACAGTAACTTATATATAATTTCGAATCTAGGAAACAATTTTTCATGATTATTGGTCTTTAGGCCAAACATGTATGGAAGCTGAGCAATCTCCTTTAATTGGCGTTTCTGAATGTAGTAAGGTAGTGGCCGTGACCAATGACCGTGAAGAACCATTAATAGATATTTTTTTCTGATCAATGAAAATAAGAGTAAAGTGCGTCTATAGCTTGTATACCATATTCAGTGATTGGTCTATAATTGGTTCTTGTCGGTCATGAGTGCTACTACCTTAGTAAGTCTTGGTAAAATGTAACTATTAAAACAGTCAAACTAAATGTCTAGGTTCCCCGTACGCGATGCAAGTGCCCCGCGAGATCTCGTTTGAGGACCTGCAGAAGCTGATGCTGAAGGAGATGTGCCAGATCGTGGCGGAACGAGTGTTGGAGAACTCGCAGGGCGCGGACATATTCCGCGCCAGAATCGCTGAGGCGCACAGACCGAAGGACCCGGCTTATTTGCAGCCTGAGGTTGGTGAAACATCAACTACGATAGATTAGTGACTTGAGAGCCACAGATCGTGGCGAAAAGGATGCTGGAGAACTCGCAGGATCTCTGAGGCGCATAGGTCGAAAGACCCAGTGTGCTAAATAAACCACAAACATAAAAAAGTCTAAGCAACACGAATAATTTTCAGTAACTGTATGCTTTATTAATCGATGTTTATTTTTTTCTTAGCAAAGTAGATATGTATACTATATTTTTTGCTCTCGAAAATATATTTGCTGATTTTAAAATAGTAAGTTTTCGATAGGAAATTTTCCAATTTTTTGAAAACTGCTTATATTTAACGATTGGGACAAACGATTTAACAGAAAAATAAATAAATGTCTTTTTTTCTCCATTACACCAATTAACGTTGAAATTTTTTTTATTGGTTTTGAATTTACCTCCAAAACGCTCGGTTAGATGACGTCTACTGTGTGACGTCAACTTTGTGTAAAGAATTTATTTTTATTTTTCCGTTAAAGCGTTTCTCCCAATTAGTAAATATAAGCAGTTTTCAAAAAATTGGAAAGTGCCCTATTGTGTTTATAGTAAGAAATAGTATATTAAGAATACATTACAAGGGTGAAAATTGTTTGAAAGTTCAAAACCGTACAAAATGTTGCTTAGACTTTGGTGATGACATTTTGTGATATTTTTTTTATTTGCGTGTGACTGGTTCGTCGTTGTTCTAGCTCCCGCATCCGCTATTCGCGCTAGACGTGGAGCAAGCGCTGTGTGCACACGACAAATATCCTCACCTTCGACTCGAACTGTTATGGGATCCAGCACATAGAGACAGGTAAACCACAGTTAATCAATCGAATATAATTGATGTGTAACATCTTTCCTCTAGCTTTCCTGCAATTTGTGGGAGTGATTTCGTGAAATGGGGCGGAAGTGTGTAGCAGGAAGTCGCGAAAGCGCGCGCTATTTTGATTTGATTTTAGAATTTATTGTTCAAATGTGTGTAACATTTCTTTTTTTACTAATATAAGGTGAGGTTTCAAATGTTACACATCATACGCGACTACTCGCTTGTTCGTTTCTTTTTTGTTAAAAGGGTGGCAAACAAGCGTGTGGCCCGCCTGATGGTAAGCGGCCACCATATAGCCTACAGGCGCCGCTATTGCCGTTCAGCCCTGCCCCTCACCCATAAAAATATTATAGACAGAAACCCAAACAAGCGATGTTCAATATTGCATGGCTTTTTGTTGCAATCTCAGATGTCGTATGCGTTTGAGTAAATCATTAACGATTTTAACATATACTACTGGGCGTTCAGACAAGTGACATAATTTTTAGCTGGGTCACCTTGGGGTGTACATCCAAAACATATTCGCCGATTGTAAATGTCATTGATAAGGAGTAGGATGGATTACTGTTCTTATTTATTCAATAATAGTGCAAAGTGTCATGTGGCGAAACTTGATATAGTACAAAATCAGGCTTTACGCATTAGGGGCTGTTCAAGTATTACGTAAGCACTATAGGGGGGCAGGGGGGTCTCTGCTTTGCTTATTTTTGATGAATTGGGGGGGGGGGGGTAGAGATGGTGATTACGTCAGCATCATCGATTAAGCCTTTTTAAGTACAGCTGGTCATGAAGCTCATGAAAGCTCATGAATCAATAAAAAAACAATACATTAAAGGAAAAATGCATATAGGTACCAATGTTTACGTAAGGATGGGGGGGAGGGGTAAGAGCTTTGCTTACTTTTGCTGACAAGGGGAAGGAGGGGGTAAATAATTGTAATAAATCTGCTTACGTAATACTTGAACGGCCCCTTATAGGTGGATTAATTAGAAGCTCTCCAATTCATGTTATGAAAGCCGAGTTATGTATACCTCAATTGTTTATACGGAGATTATATTTGGGTTATAAATATATATTTTATATTGTATTTTTAAGCCATTATGGCTTAAAAATACAATATAAAATAGATGTAAAAAATAAAACCAAAGTGATTGAATTGAGACCAGTAACAGAAAACAGGTTAGAAAATTTTCAAAAAAACATTGATGATAGGATTTCTCATATCCCATGGACACATGATGATCCTGATATTCTTTTTGGGGATCTTTTTAATCTAATAAGGAATGAATTCGATAAGGCTTTTCCCTTAAAAACTTCGAAACTTACTCAGAAGTTACAGTTCTGTGATTGGGCTACGACTGGTATCTATAAATATAGAAACAAACTTTATGAATTGTATCATCTGAGAAAATATAATCATTCACAAAGTTTTATTGATTACGTTAAATGTTATTCTAAAACCTTCAAAAAGGTATGTGCAACAGCCAAATCTAATTTTATTAAAAATAAAATATGTAAATCGAATAATAAAATCAAAACAACGTGGAATGTTATAAATCGTGAAACAGGCAAAGAAAGGCCACGTGACGATATTATTGGACTAAAGTCCAATAACATTCTAATAAAATCTAAGGAACATATCGCTAATATTTTTGATGATTATTTCGTTAATGTTCCTTTGGTGGCTACATGTAATTTGAGCTCTTCAACGGTGGCTGCCAAGACATTGCTCGAGAAATATGTACCTAAGTGTGATAACGTGTTTCAGTTTAGACATATTAGTTTTATTGATGTTATTAAGTGTTTTAAATCTCTTAAACAAAAAAATACAAGTGATTTATGGGGTATTTCTACTAAGTTGTTAAAAGTATAATACCCGTTATTGCCCTTTATCTAGTTGATATATTTAATAACTGTATTGATCAAGGCGTATTTCCGGATTTGATGAAATACAGTAAAGTTATACCTCTTTTTAAATCAGGAAATAGAAGTGAACCTGGAAATTATAGGCCTATATCAATATTACCGGTTCTAAGTAAAATATTTGAGAAAATTATTCTGGAACAATTAATGCCTCATTTCAACCTAAATTAACTTTTGCATAGGAAACAATTTGGTTTTACCAGAGGTAGATCTACTACTGACGCGGGTGTTGCACTTGTAAGGAGTATATTGGAGGCTTGGGAGGGGTCGCAGAATGTTCTTGGAGTGTTCTGTGACTTATCCAAAGCTTTTGATTGCGTTGATCATCACACGCTGTTATTGAAATTATGATGGAGTCAAAGGTACTGCATATAAATTAATACAGTCGTATCTCAGTTCCAGAATTCAAACTGTAGAGGTAAATGGTGTTAGATCATCTGGATCTCATGTGGAAATGGGCGTTTCCCAGGGTTCAATTTTGGGTCCCTTTCTGTTTCTAGTATATATAAATGATTTTCCATTTTTTGTAGAAAATTTGTGTGAGATAGTTTTATTTGCTGATGACACATCTTTATTATTTAACGTTGACAGGCGCAAGAACAACTATGACGATGTTAATAATGCTCTCTCGCAAGTTTTGCAATGGTTTAATGTTAATAATCTAAAGCTAAATGCTAATAAAACCAAGTGTATTAAATTTTGTTTACCTAATGTAAAAGTTGAACATATTGAAATTAAATAATAATAAATTAGATTTAGTAGATTCAACTACATTCTTGGGTATAACTATGGACTCAAAACTGCAATGGAATCATCACATTACGCTTTTGGCTGGTAAACTTAGTTCAGCAGCTTATGCCATAAGAAAGATAAGACAACTTACTGATACAGAAACTGCCAGAACTGTATATTTTAGTTACTTTCATAGTATCTTATCATACGGCATTATACTCTGGAGAACAGCAGCTGATATTGAAAGTATATTCATTCTACAAAAAAGAGCTGTGAGATCTATTTATCAATTAAGTAGCCGAACATCTCTTAGAGAAAAATTTAAAGAAATTGGCATTTTGGCTGTTGCTTCTCAATTCATTTACAATTGTATACTCCTTGTTAAAAATAATATCAATTTGTATACCAAACACAGTAACGTGCATATTTTAACACAAGGAATAGAAGTAAGCTTGCATTGCCACCCTACAGGTTACAGAAGGTTTACCGATCTTTTATGGGTCAAGGTATACATTTTTATAATAAGATTCCTGATGCCATTCTTGAGTTACCCATAAATGAGTTCAAGTGTCACATTAAAAATTGTTTACTTAAGAAAGGCTATTATACTATTAAAGAATACTTGAATGACAAAACTGCATGGCTGTAACTGTAAATTTGTTTTGTATTTGTTTGCAGTGTCGTACAGATAAATTGCCTGAATTCTGAGTAACTATTTTGCTTGGTTTGAGTGGTTATGGGTAGTCATGCTCTCTTAAAAATCTCTTCGGCGGTGTCGTGTGAGGCGGGTCGTTGCGTTCCCTACAATATGGTTGAGCGAAACGATATTGATTTTTAAGTTTTTTAGTAAAAGCACTCCAGTGGACGTATAACGCTACAATTAAGTTTTCACAGAAACTTAACAACTTAGGCAAACTAGATATTGGTTGAACAAAAAGAAATCACTACTAGTGGAGGTATTTAATAAAACAAAAGACGTGAAGATCTATTCCTCTTCAGTCTTAGACATGTTTGCAGCTGATATATGGTTTTCTCGATTAAACATTAAAGATATAGCGATTAGTGAATTAGAATGTCTTAGAAAATCAAAACACTATTACACAGACGACACACTGTATTGTTTTGAATTAAAGAATTCCATTTAAAATACTGGGACTGTCATATGATTTTTACAGACGGATCTAAGAGTAAAGATAATATGCAAGGAGTGGCTTTTTTTGACCCATCTCTAAAGCAACATGGTAGCTTTAAAGTTGGGAATAATGTCTGTATTATGACGCTGGAAGTCATTGCAATATCCAAAGCACTGGAATATGCGGAAAGATATAATTAATAATAATAATAATAATAAATTCTTTATTTATTTCTTCACATAAGTAGAAAAATTTACAATAAAGTGCTTAATTACAACACCTCACCACTTAATGTGAAGACTGGTGCTTGCAATAGGATAAACCTGTTCTACAAGACACCAGGCCTCCACTCCCAAAACTACATGAACAGAGCAAGCCACCCCTGTACCATTTATGTGATTAATGTGTTAATTATTATGAGAAGTGCTAAAGAAACAACTTAAACACAATAATTAAAAATAATATAAAAATAAAAATGTAATTGTGTGTGTGTGTGTGTGTGTGTGTGTGTGTGTGTGTGTGTGTGTGTGTGTGTGTGTGTGTGTGTGTGTGTGTGTGTGTGTGTGTGTGTGTGTGTGTGTGTGTGTGTGTGTGTGTGAGCGTATGCGCGCGTGTGTGTGTTTTTGTGTGTGTATGTATTTATATATAACGGTTCCCATAAATGCTTTATTTAATGCCATTGTATTACTAATTTGCACCTTACCTGATCCATTCCAATCTCCTGAACTTGAATTAATTTCATCATCGTCATTAACTTAGAGGCATCATAAGGATATTCAAACCTATTTCATTTAACTCCAATAAATAATTACAGATCTGTTGCTTTATCTGTCTGCTTGTATACTGCCTTAGATTAAGTTTAGCATGTAACACGTTGTAGACTGAAGGTGCCACAAAGTCATATGATCTCGAGGCAAACTTGGTTTTAAAAGGAGGAATATTACACTTTGCCGCTCTCGTCTTACAGACATTAGTTATTGTACTTACATTATTATGCAATCTGCGTATAACCTGATAAATAAACAATTAATTATTAATTAAGAAAAAGGGTTATCTAAGGTTACAGCCTGGCTTGAGAATAGTTTGTTATCCCTTAATGTGAATAAAACTAAATACATCTGCTTTTCCATAAATAAGGCCTCCAGTCCTAAGAAGTCTTTCTCATTAGCTATTCACACCTATTCAATAAAACTAGTT